ATGCTATATTCTCCTTTGTTTTATATTTTTATTCATACTTATTTTCTATTTTTGTTTGTATCTTCTATATATATAATACTTGATATTTTAAGTACATTGTCACCCACTATATCTCTGATATTTTTTTATTTCTTTATCAGATAACTTCTTCTTATTTATTACCATGTACCTATTATATTTTGTAGCCCTGATGAAGACCTGCAAAGTGGGTCGAAACGTTGGCCAAAAAATTAAATAATACTATTTCTATAATTTAGTTTTTTTTATTTGACCGCACCCCCCGATCAACTCCTCAAATTATTTTTAACATATTTTCACATTAATAGTGAAATGAAAACAAACCTATCTATTAATAGTTTGAATGTTTGTCGGGTGAATCAAATAATGAAGGGTGGAGAGCTTATTCCTATGTCACAGACAGTTTTTATTTCTCTGACATAAATATTCTTGTGGGTAACCTGTACTATTGACATATATATTGTAAATGTTTTGTAGTAATATAAATCGTTCTCCCTATGAGTTTTTAATGTTCGTTCTGTTTTATATTTACAGTCATCCAGTCCAAACATCAGGGCTTCAGTCATTGTTGCTGTTCCAGCTATTGTCCTCCACTTGTTAAGAAAACTTTAACAGTTACATTTTAATCTCAATTTTTTCATCTGAAAGGACTTCAATTTATTCAAATTTGACTTATGTAAGTTACTTTTGAAAGTAAGTGATTTTAATTGCATTTTATCATGACAATTTGGATATGGATAATTAAATAAGGTTAAATTTGGAAAATATAATAGAGACTTACTATCTCTTTTATGGTACTACTGATACTAAAAAAAAAAGTATATTTTTTTATGATGAACTAATTAATACATTTATACTGTTGTGTAGTAAATTATTACTTATTGTAAAACTTAATTTTATGTTTTATAACAAGTACGAATTTACTCAAAAAAATCATGCCATAAAATGTGAAAATCTTATTGTTTACGGGAAACATTACTCCAAAAATAGAATAATTTTTATTTTAATGACATGAGCTTTTTGAACAAGAAATTAAATGCAATCAATACATTATAACTGTGTTTCAGTTGTTTGATAATTTTGGTTTTATTCTATTCATACAATATTTTTATTTCAATGAATCTCATGGTAATTAATTAAATGATATTAAGGAGTTACATTTTTTTACAATATTCTTGAAATGCTAAATAAATTAATGTATGTTTTTATTGGCTGGTATCGAGTCATTTATTTCGTGGTCAAAAAACGTATTGGTTATTGTCAATCAATAATGAGGTGAAATTTTAAAATTTGTTCTTGTTATACCATTTTTAGTTTATTTCATTTCTGTACTGAGACATTATTATTAAGTATTTTATCTGTTATGAATTAATGTGATAACAATCCGTCCAGTAGTTTTTAAATATTTATTTTATCTTACTACAATCAACAGATAATGCAAATTTCAAACTAAATTTGTTTTTTCTCATACATACAGTTTTTGACTTATTAAAGTATTGAAAGCAATGCTGTTAATTTGCTTAAAACATATATTAATTTGTCATTTAATGTTGCTTGACACTAGGAGAAAATTTTAGTTTTGTATATATTTATTTTTCTTGAATATCTTCTCAATTTAAGGTGTTAGATAACGATCTTATCTTTGTGTTATTGTTTTTTTTTTACATATACTTTTAACATTATCTTTGTTATTTTAACATTACTTTTAAAGTTATTTGTGGTTTAATGTGATAGCAATCCGTCCATTGTTTCTTTAATTTAATGTTTAACAAATTGAAGATGCACATAGTATTTTATTGATCTTTGATGTTTATTGTAAGATGTATTGATTATATTATATATTTTTTGTTATATTTAATAAAACATTATTTATAACAACAATTCTATAACAAGTTTGATCTGTAATCTGGTTGTTATTCATTATGTTAGTATAATGTAAATTTTTATATTGTTAATTTCTTATTCACAAGTAACAAATGTACAATTTAATTTCAAATGTTTTATATAATTTTTTATAATAAATTGTTTTAACTAATTATAATGTTATTTTATTATTCAAGAATATGTAAATATTCAATTATTAGAATAAATATTTTTAAAAATTAAATTTAGAAATAAGGAATAAGATAAAACAAAAAATAATCATACAGGCTATGAATTTTATGTAATAAGGATAATTTTTATTTGAACAATACCAAAGTCCGATAATGTCACTTTTATTTATTCTTTTGATTGTTATTTGTATACTGCTTTGCAATAATTATAATGAATGAACTTCAGGTATTCATGGCAATATTTTTAGGTGTGTAATATAGTAATATGATAATGTTACCTTTATACATATTGTTTATTTTTCCACCCCTTTTTTTCTCCATGCTTATCATTTTAGGTATACATATTTTGTAATTTTTTATTCTAAAAATATAATTTAGAAATTTCTTCTTTTTTACATTTCCTTTTTTTTTTTATTATAGAATTTGAGAATTTTTCATTTTTATAAAGTCTTAAACTCTAATATCAAATGACTGTTATAACAACATAGGCTCAGCTGGAAGCCTGGGAGGGGGTGGGAGGAAGACATGATCCAAAATTCTCATCAGGACCTTGACTATTGGGGAGGTTGGGTGTTAGCCAGCAAAGCTCCACCACTGAGGTCATATTTTCCTCATATTTTTATTTGAATAAATGAAGAAAAATTTAATTATTTCATTGATGCTTACTCAGGGTATTGAAGAGGACACCAGTTACAGGTTAAGTACTAACCTTAAATACTTTAGTCAGACCAGCTAAATATCTGAAATCACTAATGATTATGGCATTTGGATTACTGGCAATAACTTTAGGTTGAATAAAATTGTTAATTTAATTTTTATGGTTTGACACTTTGACCACTGCTGATAAGCAGTCTCCAATTTTAAAATCAAACTTCTAAATTTCTTTCTCTAGTTCTGTTTTTTAATATTTTGTAATTTGTTTCCGAATTTAATTTATAAAATTTTGGGAATAGAAGAAAAAAAGTTGGGACTACAAAAAAAAGATATTTCCAATTTCATCCACAGGTGGATCTATGGGAGGAGTTTTTGGGCTAAAGCTCTGTCCCCCTCCCCTCCCATATGGTAAAATATAGCCATGTCTTAGGAAAAAAATTATCTCTAAAAATATTACTACTCCTGTAATTGCATTTAATAGGACTTCAAGAATCACTAATACACAATTTCATATAGTTTCTTTAATTTCTTCCAAAGTAATTATCATTATTAATATTTAAAAAATTGGGACTGAAATCAAATAACAATAAAAATACAAGGCAAACATATTTTTTTTCTCCCAAATAAGTGAATTATAAGGAAGGATATATCCGGAAATATACTATTGGAGATAGCGAAAAAGTGAACATAATTGATTTTGTCAGCTTAAATTTTATATAGAACGTCAGTTTAGTTTCACTAATATAAGCAGAAAACCTTAAAAAATGAACTTATTAAGTTGTTCGACTTGAAATCCTTGGGTATGGGGCAACGGACTATAACTTGGGATGGTAAATATAAATTTAAAGGGTTGACAGTTCTACATATTCTGGTTAAATAAAAACGTTGGCTTGTTTTGGCTTAAATTTATATTTATATGTTTGCCATTTTGTATTCCAGCGGCTATAAAATGGAAGACATGAATTTTTCTTTTCAGGCCAGTGGGTAGGATCAATTTGTGTGGCCAAACTCCAGTTAGAATTAATTGATCTCTTTTGCCCCGGGCTCTCTGACAAAAGGGTTGAATCCCAAATATTAAAAAATGAGAAAATCCATTACAAAAAGCTCTGAGTATGGGAAAAAAGTTTAAACCTCCAAAACTTAGTTCTCTAAAACCAACTAAAGTTAGTACAAACTTTCAACCTTTATCGCTGTTTGGACTTCAACCTTTATCTCTTTTTTTTTTTGTTTGTTTTTTTTATGTATTACTCTTATAAATGATAGAAGATGATCAAGGAAACCCATGGTAGGACAAAATAGGAGCCAGGTTTGAAAAATCAATTTCCAATAAATTGAAAAAACAGGAGATCTGATATTCGTGAGTTTTCATTTGATATGTCTCTAATTCAGTTGCTTGATTAATTAGCTAAGTTTAACTATTTGCATACATTTATTTTGTATTTTTTTTCATTCCTAACAAGTGATGGGCGCCCCCCTCGACCCTTAGGCATTCGGCGCCCTCTGGCAATGACCTCTCCTTCCTAAAAAAATTAAATTTATTTCTTATGCTTTTTTATACTAGGTAATATTTGAATTTTATTTCATTCAATATATGCAACTCTAATACAGATGCTTTATTGATAGGCTAAAATTAATTTTTATAAAACGTTTTTTATATGTTTTTTTTACCATAAGCATTATGTGGGGAGCGCCCCTGAAGATCGGCCTAAGACGAGCGCCCCTCCAGGTCGCCTTCCCGGGGCGGTTATATCGCCCTAAAGGGGCGCCCCTCCCCTACTCTGTATATATATATATATATATATATATATATATATATATATATATATATATATATATATATATATATATATATATATATATAGAGAGAGAGAGAGAGAGAGAGAGAGAGAGAGATATTATGCTGTGTCTGAGCTCCCTGGCAACGAATATTGTTTCCACAATAATCAAAGTTGTAATATTTAAAAGCTATATGAAAATGAAATCATTATATACACACATTGTATTTTATATATTTTAGTTTTAGAAAAGAAAGACTTTCCGACGTTTTCATTGCTAAGAAATATTTTATTTTAACAAAAGGAAGAATTTGGATATCATCATTTCTGAACATTGATTCTTTAATTTAAATATGAAAAAAAAATCTTGAATGAGTTATATCATATTCTTTGATATTTCTGATGTTAATTTTATTTATCATTCTTGTATAACTTGATGATATGTTTGTATATCATCATAATTATACCTCGATGTGTTGTGGCTACACTGTGACTTGTGAATTGCTTGAAGTTGCTGCCACCGCGTTATCTGTTTTTTTCTAGTCTAAACTGTTTAGTACTTGACGATTCAACATGGACGTTGGACTTGATGAATTAATAAAAAACAAGTGGAAAACAGGATTGCCTGGAAGAAGGAATCGAGGGTATGACCTTACTTATTAACATTTTGTAAATTTTCGTTTGTTGTATTCAATTGTTTTTGTCTAATATTGGTTTTCAGAAAATGTGCATTTACTTGACTGAATTTTTATCATCACACGCTTTAGTTTTTATTATTTTCATAACCAACAATTTTAGTGTTCATCATATGTTTTTATACTATATATTTGTTTTGTTTTTTTTACAATTTTTAGTCCACAAGCAAACCAAGGTTTATGATTACATTAAATTGTTCACTTTCTTCATTAACTTTCATTTCTTTTTTCAACCTTTTTTCATTCACTTTCTTAGAGTTTGTTTTGTTATTTCTTAGGTAACATGTATTTGAAACCTATGGTTTTCAGTTAGGTTTTATATTAACTGGCTCGCTTACTTTTCAGTGCATCACGTCCTCGTGGTGGAAAGAAAGATCGTAGTAGAAGAATGCTCTCAAACGGAGGAGTACGTGGAAAAGCTGCAGTAATAGATGCCAGAGCAAAGATTAACGCTAGAAAAAGGGGTGCTGTGAGAGATGCTCGTGAAAAACTAAATGCCCTTCAGAGACAAAAGGATGCTAGGTTAAGGATAAATTCATTGAGTACTCCTAGATTAGGAGCTGGAGGAAGAGTTGCTGATTTTATGCCAGGTCGAACCATAAACAATGCTAGTAGGCAGTTAAGCCGAGCCACAATGGATTCTTATCCATGTGAGTAGAATTTTGTCCTCTGAAATTCTCTTTTTAAGTTTTAGTATATTAGTTATAAGAAAATTGACCCTTTTCAAGTTTATTCTATGTTCAATAGGATAGATTGAAAAACATCAATTTTTCAATCATTATACCGCGGAAAAGAAAGGAAAAAAAATTGCTTCATTTTATGTGGTCATGCATTTGCTTCAAAGTTTCAAAGATTTTTACCATTGTTTTTAACAATTTCAATTTGCCACTTTCCAGATGTATTAGCTGAAATTTATATGTATTAAAACCATAAGGAATACTGGTATTTAAGTTAGGCCTGATATAAAAATGGAAATAATCAACCTTTGTTCGAGTAGATGGATGATTTATACTAAATCAAATTCGTTGTTTATACAATATGAAAATCTTTGTAATGTTTTCCTTTTTTATTAACTCTATAAAACCTTTTGAATGAGCTAGATCTACTTCAGTGTCTTCCCTTTCAATCTAATATGAACCATGTAGCAGTAATCCATTAGGTTTATTACTCAATTTAGCCCTATCATAATAATCTACATCGGTCGTTATTTCTGGGAGTTTTAAAACATTTTCTTATCTGAAAGTATCAGATTTCCAAGTACTTATTATCTAATAGATAATAGTGTTAAAAAAAAATATGTTTTTATAGTTGTGAAATTTTATAATGATAGGTATATAAAAACTTGCCTTTACTAGAATGTGATGTGTCCAAATTTCTTAGCAATCTGTGCCTAATGTTTGGAGGTACAAGATTTTCAACTAATGAACTTTCAGGCTTTCATTCGACATTTCAGTATTGAGGAATTTGTCCATTTTAGAAATTTGTACTTTCTTTTTTCTTTCTTTTACCAAATGATATATTAACAGTATTTTCTTTGGTTCTAATACTTAACAATTTGAGCTATTGCTTTAGATTGTAGGATATTAAAAAACATTAATAATTACGGAAAAAATGTGGGGTTTTGCAAGTTTAAAGTATATGCATGTATGGTTAGAAGATGAGAATTGATTTGATTTTTTTTTTTTTTACTCTCTTATTTGTAAATCCCTAGTACGCATCTTTTCTCCAAGATTAAGATATAAAAAACTATTTTTTCTGATCCACCTTACTTTCAAATTTCACCAAATCACTTACTATATTATTTTATCTATAAAAACAGTTAATACAAAAATTAGATAACGGTACTGCCATGATTTTATTTATTATGAACTGACACTTTCAAATCCAAAAAAAAAGTAATATATGTATTTCTTTTATTTGGTATATATGATATGATTAATTACACTGTAGATGGAATTTCGAAAATGTCTAATTATTCAGAATCATGTTCTTAGTTGTAACCTCTCTTTAATTATTTCTTGTTTTTGCTCTCTCAAAAGAGATAAACAAATCTCCATTGGGTCCTATTCAGTTGAAGTGAGGGCCTTATTAATGATGTATATAGTGCAATCTCGTTAATCTAACAAGCTCCTTATGAATGAACGTTTTAACTTGTCATGTCGAGAAAAATGAAAGGGTGTGAGTTCTGTTTCAATATGAAATATTCACTACTTTTAATTTGTAAGTTATTAGTCCGTGGTACAGACCCCTTTTTATCAAATTATTAACATCTGGCTGAAACTTTGTAAATAGCTTCATCTTATTATAATTTGCAAATATTTTATTTATGAAAATTTTCAGAATTACTGCGTTTTCCATCTGGAGTTCGTCAAACTTAGTCTATTTAATTAGGTACTAATAATTAATTAGTACTTATTTGCTTTCCACTTTAATCGTAAGATCACTTGATCACAAAGTCGTGAAAAAAGGTGACCTTAAAAATTTTGCCTTGTTTGGCATGACCTACACCCCAAATTATCAAAATAACGAGATTATATAGGCCAATCAGCCCAATATTTTTGGAGGCTACCTTTTTTATCGATTTTGTGATCAAATTATCTTATGATCCTAGTGGATAGCAAATGGGTATTTACGAGTTTTTAGTACCTAATTAATTAGACATGTTTGCCGACATCCAGATTGAAAACACCCCAATTCCGAGAATTTTCGTAAATAAATTATTTGTAGATTACGATGAAATGAAACTTCGTGAATATTTTCATTTTATGGTAACATACAAATAATTTATTTACGAAAAGGACCAGTTGGAAATTTGTGGAAGTTGTAAATCCTGATGTAAATATAGTGAGGTTATACTGGTGAACACATCAATACTTGAATAAACTCTGCCATTCTTCGAACTCCATTTACAGTATGACATGAAATGTTTTGTCCATCTATTAAAGTGGAGCAACACTCGTAAAGTTGTCCATTATGAATTTTTAGTTAGATTAAGATAATTACTTAAGATTATCTTAACTTCAAATTTATTATATGGCTGCTGTTAGTACGTAAGTTTGTGTGTAACAATTTTTCATGTTTATTCTCTTTGTGCTAAAGGAGACAATTTGTAGTCTGCAACTGCTATTAGTAGTCTGCTATAATAGCAGAGGGAAATTATATTAATTGAGATTGAAAACACTCTAATTCCGAGAAATTTTGTAAATAAAATATTTATAGGTTACGATGAGATGAAGTTATTTACGAAGTTTCAGGAAGATGTTAATAATTTTATAAAAATCGCATTACACGACTTTCACTTACTATCCTTTTAGCATAAATAAGTATTTTTAGAAAAGAGGAAGTGAAAGTAAAACTTATAGATGCTCTATTTATTTACGTTTCATTGTGGGTATTTTTATTTGTTTAAATACCCTTAAATAGACAACTTATAATTTTTATATTACTGTATTCTATACAATTAAATATTGAATAACACCAACAATAGCATATATGAAAACCACATATGTATATGTATATAATATTGCCGGAGTCTGTATTATATTAAGCTCACGTTACGTATGGATACTTTTTGTAATCTTTCGGTTGAGCTCGGCCTTGTTTCCTTTGGTTCTTCCATTACAGTTAACTATCAAATTCTTTTATATTTTAACTATTTTTTGTACCAAAGATTAATGTGAAATGGTTAAATTACTTCAAATATAAAAAATTAAACATTAAAAATTATATATTGTTACACTGATATACTGAGTTTAACCTAAATCATTAGAGCCGTTTTTCAGAAAATCGTAAAATGTGTTATATCGATTATATAAAGTACCACTTCCGGTTTGCCGATTTTGACGAAAATGTTGCTGTAACATCCAAGGATTATAAAAACCTCAAATATGCTATTCCAGTTTCATACAACTTTTCGTTTTTGAGCTAGGCTGTTCACATACACACCCACACACACAGACCATTTTGCGGGACTTAATTGTTTGGTCTCAGGAGACCTCAAAACGTGTATATCTATTGAAAACTCAGATTCAAAAATGTTCACGATCGCAATACTTAACCTTTCTATATATTACATATATAGGTAAGTAAAAGTAAAAAGTTGTCTGTACCACGGACTATAATAAATCATAAAGAAATAATAGGCTCATCTGTAAAAAACTCAATTTTTACTTTCAACCTTTTGCACTAACAGTAGCGATATGTTATAACTTTTTAATATAAAAATCGAAATATTTTTTCTCAGATCCAACTGCTGCCAGAAGAAACACAAGACCTTACAGTAGAGGAGCCACTAATGACAACCTTATGGATGTTGATCGCAGGTCTTGGGACCCAGCAAGCCTCCCCCAACTGGAAGTGCTTCTTATTCGGCCTAACTCTGCTCCTTATACCAGTCGACCTGTGAGTAATAATAGCATATTACTGTGCCAATGTAATCATCTGGAGGAGCAAGATATTGACTTGGCATAAAACTCTGGTTCTTTTCACATTAGAAGGTCTACTTATCTTGAGCTCAGCTAGTCTGTTTTCACAAAATTATCTTCTGCTTTCTCAGATCAGTTATCTAAATTTGTTCTATAACTGCTGTATTACAGAAAAATGTGTCATCAGGGTATGGAGTGATGATAGAGTGGTTTTTGTATTTATGTTTAAATTCATTTCATTTTTTCTCTTACTGTTCTAAGTTCAGAGACATTTTATATAAATACATCTACATTCAAAAGACCTGTAAAGGCTACATAGTATCTTTTCTGATGCATCTTTTGTATTTACTGATTGACAAAAGAATTTTATTTAATCAGCTTTCTACTTGATTAGCCTTCCTACTTTGAAATTTGCATCTTTTGTAAGAATTAACTTAATAAAAATTACAAATATTGTTGGGCATTACATTTTACTGAAGAAAAACGTTATTGCAGACCACTTATAATATGGTAAATACATTCCATATCACTATATGTATGTACCATATATATATGTAATCTGAAGAAAAGAATTGGATGATATATTTTCTTATAAAGATCTGAATTAAATTTACACCTCATTAGATTATATTGAAGAAAAATAAAAGAAAGAAGTTTGTGCTACTTGATTTGTCTTCAGTTTTTTCACAACTCTGTTTTGTTTTTATTCTACATTTTCAACTTGAGTATCTCTTATTATCCAGAAACCTACCTTTTAAATAGTAGAAAAGATTGGATTGTTCATTGGAATAATGTATCGTTTCTACATTCTGACTAGAATTAGTGTTTGAAACCATTAGAAATTGTATGCCAAAAGAAGAAATTATTGCACATCAATGAATAGCTAACGATGAAGTGGCTAATGAATACCTTTAAAAAACCGGCCTAAGTATGATTATCAGATTAGAATAAACTGGTTAGTCTGCAAGTTTCCTACTTTTTGTTATGAACAGATATTTTATATTAACACTAAGCATATGCTGTTTTATTTTAATCTCCTGAATTGACACCCCATCTCGTCATTAGAATAATTCGAAGAAGGAAATAAAAATAAGAGTGCTTTATATACCTTTGATTTTCACCTAGAAAAGAAGCACCTATTTCAAATAGAAGAATATTGTAAATTGTGAAAATATTCAGAGAAAAAAGAAAAGATAAGGCTGCAAACCATTTTACTTATGATTTTAATGAAGAAACTCTAGGTAAGCGATGAAGTGCTGAAGAACTCCATCCAAGGAGACTGAAATAATATTAACTGATAGGAAGAAACTGATTTACCTGCAAGCTTACTGCTTCTGTTATGAGTAAGTACTACATAAAGTTTACACTGCATAGATACAATTGTGAAGAGGAATATCTATATAATAAGAAAAGAGGTTTTTACTATATTACCTGATGCATTTTCAATTACTAATGAATGTTTGAATTTGTAGTGTTAATTTGAACACTTGTGGAGAAAAATCATTATATTTTACTGCATAGAAATTTTCATAAAGATTGAACTGGATTTCTATAAATTTACAAAAGCAAAATAATGAGTCAAAGCTTCCATTATGTAATTAACATATTATATTTGTGGGAGTGGTTAACCGTTTACTAATGGATCTGAAAACGATAGAACTTGGTTTCTGTGAATAAAATGATCAAAATCTTTTATTATGCAATCATAATGTTTCATAATTATTATAACATTTGTGGAAGTAAATGAATTTTGACTTCTACTGTTATTCGGAGTAGAATGATTTAACAAGTTATAGACATGTAAAGGGACTGAAATAAATACCCCAACGTTTTGTTTTAGAACTCCCATTTCAGGAGCTATTCAAATATATAGGAAACTAGTTTACACATGTACTCTTTGTTATTCTGCAGTCAAGATAATTGTTAACAAAATTAAAATTCATTAAGAAGAAGGAGACCCAAAAAAATATAAAAGTTTAAAAGTCCATAACATTTTTATGAACGATCCGAAGAAATGAAACTGGAGAGAAGTGTAGCACAATTGTGATAGCTACTGTTCATGATAGCTTATCGTAACAGTAAAAATAAGAAGAAAAAAATAAACTGTGAATTTATTCTACTAAATCAATTATTTTATGAACAAACTCTACTATTATTGTCAACCTCCAGGTAGCAGTAAATTATGTAATATTTTCCGTGTAGTCCACATTAATAGAAGAAGTATCTGTCCTTTTTCGTGAAAAAAAAATTAATGTTTCTGCTTTTGGATTGAATACTTATGGAAACAAGACGTTTTTACCTGTCCTTGGAAGATTTTGAATTTGTTTTGATTTTCTTATATTTTTATTAGGCTTCTGATGGAGGAGTCAGTTTGGAATTTGGTTGGAAATTGATATAGCTTAAACATCGTTGTCATTTCTGTTACAGAGAGAATTAAGAACTAATAAAGAAGATAGTTGGCTGAGACCTTCTCCTGCTATAAGGTATTCAATAAAGAAAATTAAAAAGCCAAAACACTATGTATTGGGTTGTAGCATGTCAAATGTCATAAATTATTTAGAAGTATACATATTAATTATTAATGGTACAGAGATGAATTCGTTAGTGTCATTCAAGTTAGGTTGTATCAATATTATTGTGTATCAGTAAAACATTTTTTTGCGTCAAAAAATGTGTCAATTTAAATAAAAAAACTTCTATGTTAAAAAAAGTTAACTTTTCATTGTTTTTACTGTTGATTAAAAAAATTATTCAGCTGGACTCAGTGGTTTTAATCGATGGCTGAAATAATTTTATTTCTAAAAATAATGTCTCTGTATCAACAACTTATATTGATGGATTAATTGATAGATACTGATATACAAACGGGAACAGAGAGAAATGAATTGGGCCGCAGTTGAATATTTTCATTCTACGCTTAATTAAACTCCAAGTTAGTTAATTGATGGAGTTACTCCTAACTTGATGTTATTTTCTCATCATGAAGTTATCTGTCATCGAGTTCTAAATGCCAACTCTTCATAGCCAAGTGATATTGAAATTCATCCAATTAATGAATGGAATCTGATATTGTCTTGAAGAATAGACCGCTAAAGCCTTGTTGTGTAAATTGATGAGACAAGTTTAATATTAGATGGATCTTCAAAGAAGACTCCAATTTCAAGCCAGATATTTGGTGTACTTTTGACAAGATAGTGGCATATTTTATTCAAATTTTATAATTCTTATTTTTAAAAGGATAAGTTTCTATTGTGATATGTAAGATTTTTTTTTTAAATTAAAGATGAAGAATTGCAAGATTTTTCTATCACAGAATTCCTAATATCTGTTTGAATTTTTTTCATCACAGCTTATTTAATATTAATCCAGAAGAAATTATGCAATCTTCTAAGTGAAATTGAAAGTGTCCTTGAAGAAGGTACTCTTCAATTATATTAAGTACTTGATGGATCAACTAGGGAATGCCTACATAGAATCATGTTTGAGAAAAACAAAACTAAAAATAGCTTTATATATAGTCAGAAATAAAAAGCCACAAAACCAAATCCCTTTACAAAGGGATTGTTATTTGGTGCCTAGCGATTGCTTCTGTCTGATTTATAGTATGATGCCTGTGAATGGAAATTAGTAAATGTTGCTGAAGAATAAATTTTATAGAAGCTGTTAAAAGTTCAGAATCATTCCTCTGAAGAGTTTTTCATGAGCTAATGATCATTCGGAATGTGTTCTGTGATTTTAAAGTTCGCAATCAAGTTATGAACCATGACTTGATAATAGCTAAAGGTGAAAAAAAGGGCTCCAATTGTATCTGAATTACAACTTTTCCACAATTAAAAATGTATATTACTGCCAATTTCTTCTCGCAAATCAACGCATCTTTAGAATATGAAGACATCGTTAAAATTATTTTCTTATCAATTCGCATTAATCAAACGAGTATGACATTTGATATGTTAGAACATCCAAAATCTCAACATGAAATAAAAGCTACATATTTTATAAATTATTAACAGTTCCACAAGAAAATAAAAAACCTTTGGCATCATAATCATTAGAGTAAGTGCAAGGGGTGATGAAAGGAAAGTAAAGATACATTGTTGCCAGTATTGCCATTGACCTATTTGTATTAGGTCTGCCTAAAAACAAGCTTATTAATACTGGTATTAACAAAGTTCATCTACCACTGCAGAGCTTCATAAAAATCATCTGTAATACTACAATATCGTGTACCATGGAATCACTGCTTCCCGAATTTAAGAATCATAGTCAAATTTTCATCATTCAGTGTTTGTTTGCAAGCAAGTATTGATACAAGATATGGTTACTAACTGGATGACCCACCATGTTCTGCTGGAAGGATTAAGATGATTTTCAGATGGTATTGTTTATATGAGAGTAGGCTTTTAAGAAGGCAGAATTCAAGCCAGAATTTCTCTCTTTGTATTGCTCAGCACTGATTTCATATTTCATAATATCCTGTATCAACATTCTTTATTTCTTAGTCTAGTTTTGTACTACGAACAACACTGTACAAGTCCTTATGGTGGTTATGATTTAACGCATTAATATTGATTACAAATGTCTTCGATTGATATATATAAATATGTGAAAGAAAATTTCATTGATTTCTGTCAATTATTTTTACACAGCCACAGATTTTTTTTTTTTTGCACTGCCACATTTCATCTCTTAAGAAGCCAGAAGTCATCTAATTCTCTTAAACAATGGAGGTGCAGCAACATGGTTTTATTTTTGTCCATCATTCAACATCGATGACTTCATTGAGCATACTGTTAATGGTAGCATATTATCTCTATTGTTCTATTTCATTTTTATAAAATATATTTCTTAAATCGTCTATTTTTTTTTTTTTTTAATTTGTTTACATTTTGCTAATTTTTGTCTTGATTATAGTTTTCATTCAATTTCTTCTATAATTCATCCCTATGCAATACAATCAAATGATACCTTGAATGCATTGGGTTTACACTTTTTTTTTGTAATGAGATAATGTGTAGTGAGATAAATACTATGGAACTATATATTAACTATTTAGCTTGGCCTCATTAAACGTGCCAATGTTTCTGACTGCTGAAGATGAACTTTTTTCTATTTTATGGCAATGTATCTTTGCTCTCCTTATAACCCTCATAACTAAGTTTTTTTTTGTTTAATTATTAAATTTTTTCAACTATAGAAGAAAAAATCCTTAAGTAAATCTGCTATAATTAATGATTTAAGCTGTATTGTAGTTCTATTATTTATTTAAATTCATTATTTTGGTTATTATTGTGTATTCTTTATTTTTCACATTATTCTGGAATCTCTAATTTTTTTTTATGAACAAATCTCCATTTGAATGGAATTTATTACTTTATTAGGACAGTAGTAATCTAAATAGCATTGCTAATATTGAAACTCATTTTACTATTATATTAGTTTTGGCTAGTCTGATAAATCATAGCCTTCAAATCAGTCACATCGTAAGTGAGTGGTGATGACAATGCTGAGTCATTATTAAAGAATGCTAATATTTCACTATTTTACTTATAAAATTTTTTAGTAACTTTAAAAGGACTTTTGAAATGAAACTGGATTGATCATCTACTTGTTTGAGATTTGTAATTTATCTCTATTCTTAATTTTATTTTCCTTCTAATAATCAAACAAAAAAGAGTGTTAAATTATTTACAGTACTGTTTGTGCTTTTAAATTAACATTGCTAAAATAAAGTTATCTTTGTTTTTTCCATAAGTGATGTGAGTCAACAGGATTAGTTATTCAATTGAAAATTTTAAATGACTATTTCTTAATAGTTCCTGCTAATATTTTATTGTAATGATTTACCACTCTTATTATATTATATTATATGTGAACCTTGATGTTCTATAAGAGGATACTTATGTGGTTGTTTAAAGGAGAGCTGAAGAGAGTATTAAGTCGAGGTTGGAACCACTTCGACAAGAGGAAGGTTATAGGATTGTTGTATCCAATTTACAGCCAACTGTCACACATGAGGATATAAAGGTATGCGATAATTTTAATAACTTTTATTATTAAAAATTTAATCACAGGAGTTTTAATAGATAATTTAAAATTATATAAGTCTTAATTATTTATTAGCATAAAATTATCTATAGACTAGTTAATACAATTTTCTGAGTCCTAGATAAATTTTAATTAATTAAGAATACAGTTCATGGCATCCTTATAAATTAATCATCAGAACAGAGCTATTTAGCTAAAATATCTCTTCTTTTTTTTTTTTTTTATGAATCAACAATTAGTACTCTATAATTGTATTTTTTATATCACTACTTGACTTTCAGTCTAACATTGTCAGGTAAGTAATTGTATTCAATTTTTATATAAATTGTAGAAGTAATGGTGAAAATACATACCGTCTTATTACAATAAAGGACCAGACACTTGAAATGCTATGTATCTTACAAAATTTCTACTATTGTTAAAGTCAACTATTTTTAATTTAATTTCTGGTAATATATTGCTTTTAATAATTTTCTACTTATGAATGAACATTTGTATTGAATAAATACAAAAAATCAAAGTAAATCGATATGCCATTGTTCAATCTTAAAATTGATCAAATTTTCAAAAACTACCTTATCAAATTTCGGTAATATATTATTTGACCCTTGTATAGAAGAAATCTAAAATTTTAAAGTATATTTTAATTTGTGCAATCTTAAAATTAACTTTATTTTCCAAAACAATGCCTCCCATTGACATAATAATTGACACCTGTATTTAAAAAAAAAAAAAAAAAAAAAAAAAGCTAAAATGAAATGATACTTTAGTTGGGTGGGGACCATCTTGAAATGGATGGTATTTTCAGAAACTATCCTATCAAATTGGACCTTAACGTCTCTGGAATTCAAAATATTTAAATATGATTTTGTTATCACCGTAAGTCAGCAATCATCTATACTTTAATGATTAACAGTATTCATCTAATTTCACCATGAATATATTATCAAACATTTTTGACTATAAATTATTTTTATCATCTGAATCATGGAACTAGTATTTTCTATCCAATATAAATACAATTTTGGTTAAAAAATTAACAGGAAATTTTGTATTTCATAAGTTGTATTGGTTTAATTCAGGTGTTTTTTTTTTTTTTTTTTGTTTTTTTGTAGTTATGTTGGTAAATGTATCTTAAATCCGTTTGCTATTAGCCATATTGGGTGATTGATCTCACATCGGTTTGAAGAAAGTTAGATATATTTGCGTGTGAGTGTTCAGTAAAAATGTATCAGAAAATTTGTATTAAATTCGGCTGTAAAAACAGAATTAAATTTAACAAAGTGGTAAAAGTGTTAAATATTGCTTTTGGCGAGTCCGCTATGTCAAAACAAGGGTAGGGGTTTATGAGTGTGATACAAGTGTTTCCATGATGTTAGTGAAGACGTTGATTATTGGAGCATAGCACTTTAACTTAACAACCAATGAAAATGCTGAATAAGTGAAAGATATGAACGATGACAAAATCGCAATCAAAGATATTACTCACCAGTTATCTTTGTTAAATTGTATTATGTCTTTAATCTCTTATTTTTATTTACAATTAATTATTTTCACTTTGACATAATGATTCAACTCCAATTTCAATATTCTTTATTATTAATTTTAGTAATGTTTCTAGTGGGAAAATTTACCTTTATTCACAGTTCTATATTTTAACACTGCAATCACCTACTCTGGAATCAACTTACTTACTGTCTGTATAGATATAACTTTTCCAACTAGAAATATCACTAAAATAACGTTACTCAGTAATGATGAAATTGGAGTTAAGTCATTTTATCAACTGAAAGGTTCAGAGACTGGAGTAGTGTGGTTCATAAAAGCAGATGGAGTAACTAGATTTTTATTGCCTATGGTCGATAGTATAATAAATAGATTTTTTGTAATTTTAATGATTTAATATCTGTAAGCTTTAAGCTTTTAACTCCGTTTAAAATGCACTTCAAAAATTTTATAATAGCCCAACATTGTCAGAAAATATTTTCTATTCAAAGTAAAGCAGTAAGTGAAAGTTGTGCGCACCAGATTTCATAGTATAATTAAATTATCCTCTTGTATAAATATAGATCCAGATAACAAGAAGATGTTTTGATCTCATATAACATTGAAATCCATAGGGCTGCTTACTGTTCAAGAATGACTGATGTATTTCCCATTACCCACCATGTATTCATTATACATTAAAGACATGGCATGTCCTTGACACAGCCATCCCCTGCTTATTTAAATAAAACAATATATTTAAGCAATAGTTCTTAATACCAATAGATGAGTGGCATTTTGCAGAATTAAAATAATATTTATTTGTGTGTTAATGTCATTTAGTATTTAAATAACTTTAAAATAATCCTGTTGGTAGTATATATCTTTAGAATGACTTGGCAATTCTGATGAAACATTATATATTACTTCCTCATGCTATGGTAAATTATTTATGATTATTTCTATAATAGGAGATTACTGTTTTGTTTTTTTTAAATAAATTTTTTTAGTATAACAGTATAGTGGAATAGTTAAATTATATAATTATGATTTAATGCAGGAATTATTCGAGGACATTGGACCACTGATAGGCTCACGAGTTGTCCGTCCAGGCACTGCTGAGGTTGTTTACAGAGACTTAAAAGATGCTATTGCTGCAGTCGACGCTTATCATAACAGACAATTGGATGGGCAACCGATGAAATGTCTGCTTGTGAAACCAAGGTATTATTTCATACTTTCATTATTTATAATAATAATAAAAGGCTTAGCGAACCTGAAGGTTCGAAGTCAACACCACCAATCGCTTATTACACAGCTCCCTCCAATGGTCACTATCCAAACCTACTAGTCCCTTTAGATCAGCCTCAATGCTATCTTCCCACCTTCCCTTCTTTGATCTACCTCTCAGACATTTACCAGTCAGCACAGCAAATATTAACCTTTTAGGAACTCTTTCATTACTAAGGCCAAAAATTTTATTAGCCCATTTAATTCGCTGAGATGTAATCACTTCAATAATATTAACCAGGTACAATTCACGCAATTCATTGTTGTGTAACCATTAAAACTCTCCTGTTAACTCATCCTTCAGTCATCCTCCAGCGAGCTAAGTAGTTTCGTCACACAGAAATAACAAGCATTTCCCGGCAAAACAATTTTTTTTTTAAGGTAGAGAATTACGATAACCTAACCATTTCTGTTGCAAATTTTATCAGCTTTAATTTTACATAGAACATTGTTCTCATTAAGCTTTCGGCATTCTTCTTAACTATGTCCAAACTTGTGGCACAAGTTGCATTTGGAATCGCGATTATTTTTGGTTATGATTTTGTTCTTCAATGATTCATGTAATTCTTGAATTTTTGAGCGATTAATAAGGCTTTGTAAACTGTCTATTGACTTCCTCGGAAATTGTTAAATTACTCGAGGATGTAATAGACCGTAAAGAATATCAATTTGCATATCGACACTAATACTGCATGGAAGTAAAGATATGTGTTTTTGGAATTGAAGAATATATTCTGATGTTTTATTTGGGTCAGTCTGTGGTTTTGAAAATATCTGGCAAAACGTTAAATAAGGATGCTGGATTACTTTAAATGTTTCTTTGAGTAACGTAATTGCTTAAGACCCAGTTCTATAATTTGAGTTACCTTGGTACTAGTCAGCGGCTATTCCGGATAAAAGATGTGGTAGACCAGCAAGTGCTCTGCATTCTTGTCTCTTTTGTATAGTTTGATACCAAATATGAACCGATCCACGTCTAAGAGTCATTCAAAACGAAACGGGCAATCTAGGAGACTTCCTTTCGGGCGATTCGCTTCATTAATCATTAATGCTTTTAATAGCTTGATAAGTGGTTGTAACAGTGGATGAAAGTATCTCTTTGAGATCGTTTTCAATGAGATGGTATAATTTCTGAGACTGTGTATTTTTATGTGCCATATTGAATATCATTTGTGCTTCTTTCCCTAGTTGGGCACCATGTAACAGGTAGGGTTCTAAGAGAAGTATTTTTGCAAAGTGAACTCAGAAAGCAATCACAATATATATATAATTAACTTATTTTCAATATATAATAATTATTACAACTGTTCCATTGTTAAAATCTATATAAATAAAATAAAGATTTTATCAATTATTTTTATTTTAAAATAAAGATTTTAAATATTATATTGGTCTAATATTTACAGTATTGTTGTTGCTAATGTTTATTTAGTTGCTTTAAATCTCTAATAATATCTCTTATTTAACCTTCTTTTTTTTTTTTTTGTTATAGCTCTTCTTCGAACAAAGCAATGGTTGGTACAAAAGGGATGGTGGTACCAGATATTAGCACTATCCACAAAGCATTATTCATGAAGTGAAGCGGATGCTATTTGAGATAAATATATTTTAGGAACCAAAAATCCTGGTCTTCTAACTTCATGAAGATTTCTTATAATCAATGATTTCATAAGAAAATAAGATTTTTATTATTAGAAAAAAAGCACTGTTTATTTAATATTTTGTATAGGGGAATCATGTAATTAATCATCTTGTTAACTAATAACAGTGTAATAATTGAATTATAAATAAATTTATTATATGTACTTTTCAAAAATATTATTTTTGTTTAAATGTTTAAGTTTGTGTAAATTGTGAATGATGTCAAGTCCATTTTTGGCATTGCTACTCGTTAAATAATTTTTGACCTCTTTCCATAACAATTAAGAGTTTCTATAGCTGCTGTTTTTGTATTTAATTCAGAAAAATCTGTGAATTTGAGCTGCATTAGGGTAAATGCACCAGTTATGGACTGGGAGACCCAGCGATTGTCAGTTTAGTCTTTAAATGTAAATAATAAGCTTCCTGGTTGGTTTATAGCTTCCAGTCCTTTTCAAGGATGAAGGACAAAGCTCTCTGTATACAACTACAAATGGGAAATCTCTAAAAGTAGGTTTAAGAATGGTAGTTATCAGTGTTGTTTCTAAGGTCCTCTTTGGATCGCTAAGTTTGATTGCTTCCTAAGTAATGTAAGTGTTTTTACCATTAAGATGTTCATTTCACCATTTTAAATTGTCAGGATTTGCATCGAATTTCCTCGAAATTACCATTTTTAACAATTTCTGGAGGGTATCCATCATCAGCTTGAAATTAAGCCCAACTATTTATGGACACCCAAGTCCATTACTGGCTCCCATCACTTTTATGTAAAATTATCATATTTCTGTGTTTACTGAGTGATAAGAAATCGGAAGCTACCCTTGTTTTCTTCCTCTAAAATGTTTCAAATCCGTAACAGGAATAGGGATTGTACATCACTGGACGCACTACTAGGCATTTCCATTGCTATTTCCCCAGTGTTAGTAGAATCTTACAAATTCAATGCTCATGTTGGACTTAAGATACAAAATTCAGCTGAAGAATGCTATGTTTGCTATATTGCTAGCTTTTAACAAAAGGGAGACAATAATACTGGAGAGGAGCAGGATCAATCACTACGAATTTTAAAAGACTATTTCCACCAATGCTGAGTATTATATTGATCTATCTATTCATTCTAATGTTTCCCATTTTTTGCCAAGCTATCAACATTGATGCAGATAGTACTTGATATATGAACAAACATTATAAATCTAGAACTTGCAGGAGAAAAATAATTGCAGCACAAATCAATGAGTCGTTGGAAGCAATTGATAATTTTCCTTAATATTAATAATAATTTTTAAAAAGCTCTATTGGTATGTGATGTGTTCACTATTCTATTGATAAAATACTTTTAGTAATTAAAATATTAATGAGGGAATTTGAAAATGAAGCTGTGGTGCAAAGGAATCATTATTTGGCCAAGTTGCTAGGATGGAGCCAGATGAAATTACACATAAAGGCTCTTCAGAACGTGAATATGGAAGAAGAAAAGTAGGACCTCCTAAGCTTTGCTAGGAGAATGTGCTGATTTTATTATTATTATGAGAAGGAGTTGGACAGAGGGTGCGGTCAAGTAAATACTAAATTTTTAAAAAATTTAGGTATTTATTTGACCAACTCATAATATTATATCACGGTTAACCATCTCTACATCTGTATTATTATTAATTTAAATTACTCCAACACAAGGTCACTTTGTTTTTCATAGAAAGCTCAGTTCACAAGGAAGTGTCATTTTTTAAAACTTTTTTTTTATCATAAGGCATGGGACCTAGTGGAGGTCTCAATACGGCCTGCAGGAGTATGTGTATTTCTCGATTTAAACTACAATTAACAGTGCTTTATTATGAATGTACAATATTCTGCAGAATTTAAATGTAAGCTCAATTTTTATTATTAAGAATTGATGGTGTCTTGTAATTAATTTTATAATTATTAATTATTGAAGAATACCTCAGTTTTGTTTCAGTACGTAATTAAAATACAGCTTCAAGCATTTGCAATAGATAAATAAAAAATTAAGATTACAAGATTTTTGTATAAAATATTTTTCAAGACCTCTTAAGTTATTTTAGAAGGCAAACTGCTGTGTGGGTTAGATGGGATCAGGATAATTTCTCTACTCTATCTCTAAGGACTTTTCAAACAAGCTAGGTTTGAAATCTATTTAATTTATGGGAATATAATTGAATGGCAACTTGAATAATTAAGTTTTTTGACCTAAAGATCATATTTGATATTTTAAAATAATAAAGAAATTTACATGGCTGACTACCATGGATCTTTAAACACCTTCACAAAAGGAAAAAAATTGTCTACCTTTATTTCCAATGCTCAGTAACTAATATTTTTTGTCCATAAGTAACAGACTGGATATTATTTCTGTTTAATCGCAATATAGGAACTATTTTCTACTTAAGAATTAAAAAAAAAAAAATGTGATCAAATATAAATAATTTAAATTACTACTTTTATTAAAGTAAATTTTTACAAACGTAAAACCGTATTGTATTCTATACATATAGGTATGTATAATACACACAATCCTAGAATTGCTGCTAAGCTAGCTACAGGAAGATATGAACAAAGCAGCTATACATAAGGCCTCACGGCCTGGGTTAATAAACAAAACATGTTTATTGAATTAAATCAAAATTAGAACAATATATATCCAGTATGTTCGGCCCAGAGAGTATTCATTATTATTGTTCGAAATGCTTTCCTTGGTCATAAAATGTAAGCATCAATTAAAAATAGGGACCGTAAGCCCACTGAAGTAGAAAAGTTAAGCAAATAATCTGTTGTGATCTACTCTTTTGGGCTGAACACGATAGATAAGTGGTTTTTTGAATTGCAAACATTATATTCTGTTTAGTTAAATACGTTTTTAACAAATATAACATTTTGTGTAAAAGAATAAACAATGATAAAATAGCCTAATGCAAACAACAAATTAGAGAATAATATATATGTTCTTAAACTATGTACAAATCTAATGTTACAATAACTTTACATTTATAAACAAAAACAATAATTACAACTGATTAAAGTAATATTTGTGGGTCATTACTTTTTATTTTGATTCTAATCTATAAAACATTAGGGCAAAGTCTTAATGACAATACCACCAGGTAATTTTAAACGCAAAACATCACAATGTTACACTGCATATAACATTTCCTAACATAACAACGGCAAACATTTACAAAGGAATTAAAACAAGACATAAATACAATATCTAAAAACTAATATTCACATTCCTAAGTGTAACAGCATAATAATTAGGAGGCTATTATTTTAAGAAATTGTAAGTCCCTCAACCTCGAGGCAATGGTGTCAATAATTTTAATAAGTACAAAATATATTTTTTGAATATAAATGCATTCTAGGAGAAACAATATGCTTTTATACAATCAGCAGTAAGCTAAGCAATTTTAACCAATTTCATACTTTTTTTTTATTACTTTACCGATTTATTAAAAAAAAAAAAAAAATACATATCTAAAAACTAAATGGCTTTATTCGGAAATCAATGCTTTCTTTAATAACATTTAATTCTTAATTTATCTGATGTGTTCACTGCCCAAAACTAACTTATCATACATTTAAAAAACAATTTTGTCAATAAACCATTATTAAAACTACCTACTTTTCAAAAAGTTGAACAGTTGTCACTTTTGTAATCTATAATATAATTAAAACAACAGTCACAAAATTTCTTCCAGTGGGGTATTAATAGAATTTAATGTGTATTTATCAAACGCACCCGAAACTATAAATGACCACATGACAGCACAGATAGAGAAATTATTTACATTTTTTACCAAATGATAAATAACGTTAAGAAGTCCCTATAATGAAATACCTACATGACTTGGATAAACATATATACACATGCACTTGATAAGATACATAAACTTTTCACGAATAAATTTCATGGAATGTAAAAGCATTATGTATAATACCTTCTGTAGCCCTGCTCCAGCAGTAGAGATGGAGGGAACAATATTGTCACAGCCACTCTGAACAGTCAAATCACAATTCTCACTCAAGTCAAATCAACTTTTTACAACAAGTTTCCTTCTATATGTGCTTACAAATAAATAGTTCCATTACATATATTCTCAAAACTTTTACTAAGAAAGTAACTTTTAAAAGTTACTAAAAATTAGCCAGATAGATAAAAATAAATAAAAGATGCAGATTACACTTTTCTTTCTAAAAGTTTATTGTTATCAACCTGAGGAAAAACAGAGGTCTTTGTAGTCTGAAGCATTTTGGTACTTAAACATTTCACAAGTTGCTGAATGAACTGAGAGAGAACGACACACAGCATTACAGCTCATCTTTGAGAAGAGTGTATCTATTGGGCGATGGCCCGAGTTTTCTAAATGATGATTCAGGTGGATTGGTAGGGGTGTCCACAGGTGCTCCAATTTCGTTAAGGTCAGGTCCGTAATGAAACTCTCGGTGCAGTTTTCCAGAATAGAGATCCTATACAAGAAAATAAATACACAATTATGAAAGGTTGCTTCCTTTATTAAAAAAACATGTTACACAGAAAAAAAACATCCAGTAATTAAAATTTTAATGAAATATCAAGAAGAGAGGCTCCTGGTGTTCCATTCATGGCTAACTTCTTTTATTAATTTATAACAGCTAAACAAACACATTTACTATCAGATAACAGATGAAATTATCAAAATATAATTAGTAACTTTTATAAAACCTATAGTTGATTTGTGCATGGAGCATGTATAAATTAACAAATACATGACCATTTTTTTAATATAAACTTTTATTAATACCAGAGAAACTGACACTTGCAGTTTTATTTATGCTTTAAATTCATTTTGGGTTAATGTACTTGCAACAATATAGATGAACCCCATATTGAAAAAAAAATTACGAGAAAGAAAAGGAAAAATCTTTTTAACTACAAGAAATAAATTTCCTCATTAAAAATGAATATATCAAAAATAATAGAATATACTTAGAAAATAGATTCTGATATCTTCAAAATATTGAAATTATGAAATGAAGCTTTGAAATTAGATGTAAATTAAACTTTTAGAATGTTTTGAAACTTTTAAAGAAAATGGTAGGTTAGACGTTCAATGAAAAAATGTATTTCTATTTCCATAACATGATGTTTTAATTTTAATCATTTTTAAAAAAGTGAAATACTTTAATCAAAATCAAAACAAACCAAACAAATGAAAATTAATCTGTTTAATTTGTTTTGGCCAGTTCCCAAGTTCTGATAAACATTTTCTGTTGGTAATTCCACGTATGTATTTTTTTTCTTTTCACGTATAAGTTTCTTTTCTGCTTAAATTTGCCTAATTAAGATAGTATTTTAAATCTTAAGTTTAAATACCATTTACATCAGCTCTATTCTTCCATTTTAATTTTACTTCACATTCGTTTTTTCTCAACTCTTAACAAAAACATACCATTGGCCTTCAAAGGACGAACCATCCCTGATCCAGTTGTGAATAAATAGTATAGTTTTAATAGCATTTCCTTAATCCAAATGAACTAGTTATTTTTAATATGAACTTAAAATATATTAATATAATATACTATATAAAATATATTAAGCCATGAAAGTAGAAATGAAAATAAACTATAAAACAACTTAAAAACTCTAAGTTTTGTTGAACCCTAATTTTAATTGAGCAAATTTCAGATAAATCCTCAAACTATATTCAAGCAAATACCATAAGTTATTGGTTGGCAAATTTATCTTATATTGTTTTGGAACAGATAGCTGATCTATACTTTACTTCTATAAATAAATTATTGTAAGTGAAATTTAATCAACTTACATTTCTATCTATACTGGCTCTACAACCCCCTTAGTGATTTAACTTACATTTAAATCACCATTTTTATCGTATAATACCATATAATTATTATTTTGCAAAAATAAGAATAATCCTTTTTCTTTAAATAATAAACATGTAATGCATATTATTTTTTATCATTTCCTATATTATACCATTTAATAACAACGTAAAAATTAAATGATATCAAACTAATAATATCAAATTATTCAACTTTTAAACTAGGAAAGTTAGTTGACAATTTAGTTATATTGATATAGGGAAAAATTGTATGAAGCCCTAAAGCATTTTAAGATCCCTAGGAAACTCATAAGCCTTGTGAGGCTTACAATGAATAATGTTAGCTGCATGGTTCAAATCACTGGAGAGAGGACGGATGAATTCTCCTCAGGAAAAGGATTACACCAGAGAGACGCCTTAGCCTGCCTTGTCTTTGATCTTGAGCTCGAGAAAGCAGTGAGAGATACTGGCATACAGTACAAACAATATACTATACAGCTGTTAACGTACATGGATGATATCGCTATCATCCACTCCTTCTAAGCTGTATCGGACGCTTTCCTTGCTCTGGTGAGTCCTGCAACAAGGCTTGGCAGTCAATGCTGATAAAACAAAATATATGGTTACAGGAGAGGTGCCTAAGCCTGGAGAGAAGGTGATCTTCGGAGAGTATCAATTCGGGAGATTAATGTTTTTTTATACCTCGGCTCATTGGTAACTCAAGACAATGCTCCTGAACAAGAGCTCTCCCCAGAAGGTCAAAGCTATGTCTTTACAAGACGACAGTGCATCCAGTCTTGCTGTATGGTTGTGAGACTTTGACTACTTCCTAGGCTTCTGAACAGGAACTCCTAGTCTTTGAAAGAAGAATCCTCAGATATATCTATGGTGGCCTTTTCATCGGAGAGGATTAGAAAAGGAGGAAAAACCAGGATCTGTACACAATGTCTTGGGTGCCAGGTATAGTTCGAGAGATAAAGATTGCAAGGCTGAGATGGGCAGCACACGTTGTGAGGATCCACCAAGACAATTGCTGATAATGTTCCTGCTGACAGAAAGAATATACTGAGGTTTTGGAATTGGATGGTGGCTGCAAGAGATCGAGACAATTGGCAGAAGTTGCTCGACAAGATCAGGATTCAACACTGGATTGGAGAGCTACGTTAATAGTAATGATAATAAATTTATATTTAAGTTCTGGTTGTCGAAATGATGAAGATTTAGCAATCTTGGGTTAACAAAAGCATAAATCAACTACTCTATCTATTCATATTAAAGTAAACTGATTGAAATAAGCATCTAAATATGTCCACACAATCAAATGGAACTACATGCATAATTTTATAAGGAATGATTACCTGAATGAATGATTTTAGTTTTCCAGGAACTTCCATTTCTTTGATATTGGGGAACAGGTACATATGCCTGAAGCTGTCAATGGCAATAAGTGGTAGATCATCCAGACTCTTGCCAAGGTGATGGAGGGGATGTGCAAACTTCTCACCATCAGCAGTAAGAAAGTTGATGTTCTCTGTAAAACACAGTTGAAAAAAGCTTTTAAAAAACAAAATAATATTCAACTTCATACATCCCTAGTGAAATACTGTACAAGCTCAAAAATTTTATTGAATGAGGGAAGGTGCTTATACAGTAAAATAAAAATCAAAGATATTTATTACAATTTTAGCATTTAAATCAGATTAAAAATAAGTAGCACATAATACGATGCTTCTGTTATGCTTTAAATTGTAAATTTCTGCAGCAAACAAAAATTTGTAGAAATCAATCGGATCATTTCTTTATTCTATTAATAAAGCATTCACAAATTATGTGCTTATCGATTGAATGCACAACAATAACTGCAGATTTTTCATCAACTATTGATTCTACACATTTTATATAATTAAAGTTTCATATACTACCAATAACAAATAAATGTAACTTACTATTCTATTTATATGATTCAATAATATCAAATATAAATAAACTAAGATTTTTTTCAAGTGAATTTTGACTGCCTAAAACACTCTAAGTAATTTAAATAATTAACACTTTACTGGAACATAATAACGAGTAGTGTTTTGAAAATAAGAATGCACATACGTTTCTCTGAGATGAGTTGACCAGCTACAATGTCTTTGAATATCTTAACAGTTTCATCATCCCTTCCTGGTCGATGGAAGAGAATCATGAAAGGTAAGCCCTCCTCTGTCAATTCTTCAGCATTTTCAAAAGTTATCTCTCGAACCAATGGAACACATCTATTATATAAAAATAAACAAAAGTATTTACTAGCTAATTATACAACAGAATAATTATATATTCAAATAATACGAATGATCTAACTTTCCAAATAAAAAAATTAAAATACATAGAAAAAAGAAATTGTAGTTTTACATTTTTTGATACTGTTTCAGAAAAAAATATGTTTTTTATGATAAAAAAATTAAAACTTATTCCCTGTTTTAACAGACAGTTTATTGTTTAGAAGGCATGTAGAACAAAACAAATCACATTTTAATGTTTAATAGCAGTGCCCTCGCATTCTCAGTGGACATGGCTTTATCACTGAAGGCTCCTACACTTAAAACGCAATATGATACTCTTTGTCAGTATCACTGCGGATTATCATAATTTTTAAATATCGAACGACTTTTAACTCAAGTAAAACATATTTTTTTTTTAAAATATCACACTTGACTGCCTTACAAGATAATCCAATGTGAAGTCAAGCATAATGAACAACATATTTATATACACATTACTTCCTTTTTTTCTCTCAACTCTAATGGACTAAAATAATTTGATTCCAGTTTACAGTTTGTATTGTACTCAAGAAAGCCATCACATGGAAAGAGCAGGGGATATTAGTTTATATTTATATATATAGGGATATTAGCTCTCTAATAGTTTATAAGTCCAAATATTTATCCAAATACATTATAGTCCATATTAAATTTATTGAACAAAGTTTTGATGTCAAGTTTTTAATATTTACTTAAAATAAATTTTTTGAAACAGAGGCTTCAATTTTTTTTTAAGTCTCATAAGTCATTTAAGTAAACATGGCCTATTCTAAAGACCATCCATACTACATATTAATGTCAAGGAGTTCTAGCAAGTAATATTACACTTATATTACATAATTTCAAATTGATCATTTAAGAACTTGGAATAGAGAATCAAGTCTAGTTAATTAGTAAACAAATATAATTAATAAAAAAAATCAGAAGTTTTATTCTCCATACATACCTTTCTGACATCCAGACAGAAGTTTCATCATAATCGAGAAGTGAGCCTTTGAATGTCTCATCCCTTTCATTTGATAGGGCAACATCAGGTCTAAATACAACAATATTTTGACCAGGGGGATGCATTGCTCTAACCGCATCACTATAAATTAAACAGATAATTATTTAAATGGAATAATAATAATATATAATGAATTTCTAATCAATAGTACAATAAAATCAACATAAATATGGGAAACATATGAATCTTTCACTTAGACCAACCACTAGTTCTCATGGTATTGTTAATAGGTATCGAGTTTTGCTGCCTTCTAATTACAGACATCAAGCATAGCTCGGGTATCTAAAGCAATACATTCCTCCTAGTAAAGCCCTGGTGTGCCTATGCGACCAACTCCAATGTCCCGTTATGATGTAAAAATAATAATTGGTTGGGAACTTCAAAGATCAAGTTTATAAGGAGAAAATCTATCATCCTACTATAGATTGATTTTGCCTGTAATCAGAATGAAAAATGATATGTTGATTTTGCAGCATTAAAGGACCTTATTGTTGGAAATTAGCCGGTAACTGCAGAAAAGAAGAGCTTTTCACATCACAAGAATGAATCCAAAAGAAATCCCACAGAGGGTATTTAGTGAGCAAATGTATATATGTATAAGCAAGCGAGTTGGTCATCCAAACCAAAAGTTGGAAGCATTCTGTGGCTATTGATGTAAAGATTTTACTTGGAACACAAAATTGGTTGATCAGGAAAAATGGTAATCAATGATGGAGCTAGTTAAGTCTAAACTTGATATAACATAATAATATAAATAATTAAAGCTGAAAATAGATTTATTAGAATTATAAGCCTTACCCGAAACCAACATGGAACTGACAGTCTTCCTTAAGGTTAGAAGCTGCTCTTCGGAATATATTGTACTCGGGGCAGTCCTTCTTCTCAAAAAATCCAATTATAATCCTCTTTTTAGTCTGAATAAAATAGGAAAAAATCAATGAAACTAAGAACTGTAATATCGCAAAACAAGAATCAGAATATCATGGACTCAATGCAACACTGAGACATCTTATTTTTTTATTTAAATTGATATTAATGAATGTTTAGAGGAAATTATGAAAATAAAATTTGCTATTTGCTCTTTATTACATATTGATAATTTAAGTAAAAAAAAGAGATAAAAATTTAACTTTGATGTTTTGCAAATTAAATTTTATAGGTGTATCACTGTTGCAGAGATTAAGAGATAAAATAAATTAATATTCGAAAAATATGATAAATTATAAAATCAACATGCTATGACAATAAAGCATTATCAATAATTAAAATACATTTCATTCAATCAGCACAAAGCTTCACATTTTACTGTTTTCAAGTAGGTTTGATGAAAACCAAAAACTAAAGTATATTTTTTTCAGACATTCAAATATTAGTAAAAATATATGTAAGTGTATGCCTCTAAATAGTTATTACAAATAAAGAGAAGTCAAAATTATCTGAATGATCTATGACAAATGAAAAAGAGTAATAACAGTAATTCAAAGTTACATCTAAATTCTTCAGTTCTGAAATGTCCTGGAATTCCTTAATAGGGTCTTCAAGCTGCTTCTTTACAAACTCTTGAAAAGCCTCAACAGATCTTTTGCCACGATATTCTCTTTTAGCGGGCTGACCATTCCTAATAACCTTAAGGGTAGGATACTTAGTGATATGGAATCTTGTAGCAATGGCACCTAAAATGAAATCATTACATCAATCTACAAAATAAGTTGAAGGTAGTTAATGAATTATATAGGGGGAAAAGTTAACTATAAAAAAAAATGCTTCATAATCAAAATAATAATGGGATCAAATTTAAAAGGAATAATTTTAATAAAAGCTTTTTTATCTCCAAACTTTGTAGTTAGGAGTCAACATAGATAATTTTTTTTCTTTTTTTCTGGAGAAGTACTGAAAAACAATTTAACTTTATATTTTTGAACCTATCTTATCACTGTGAAACAATCATTTCCATGAAGAAAAAAAAAGAAAAATATTTTCCTTAAAAAATAAAGGTCATTTTGGTTTTCAGTAAGAAATGTATAAAAATATTAATAAACATAATCAGTAATATATTGTTCTATATTCAGAAGGGTTTAATTAACCACACTTGTATTTACCTTACATAGAGATAACAAGATAAATAATAATCTTAATCACTTTTGGATGAGAAAGATTTGGGTAGGATTTAGGAGGATTATTGCTGATGTCTTTAAACTTGTATTTATTGCATCAGCTAATGATTATTTTAAACCACCATTACCTATAATTTATTGATGTATTAATTAAGTTTATCTTGAAATTGACTATAACTTTAAATCAAAATTTATTTAATTATTTCCAACTCCTGCTACAACTTCATCAATATATTCTGTAAATGGCAATTGATTAAAATAAAAATAATATTTGTGATAAAATGCTTAATATATTTTGATCAATACAATGTTGTATTTTTAGATGAAACTATTATGTACTAAAGTACCGTCATTTGACCTTCAGAAGTATGTAACATTACAGGCATCCCGATTACTAATATTTCATTTCAAATTAAACATTTAATATAGAGGGAAATAGAAAAAGCTCCAAGAAATTCTTTTTTGAAACACATGCAAAGTACTAAAGTAGTAAAATTATTAGTTAGGTAAAAATTCAAAATAGTCTGTCTAAGACATAATCTATACACATGAAAATTGAAAGAAAAACGTGTCTAACACTAAACAAATTAATGTTCTTAATGAATAGAATGCTACTAAGAATTATTGTTATTGGGCACTATATGAAGAGAATTTTTAAAACTGGAAAATAAAAGTTAATCGAGTTTGAAGCCCTTATTAAAAGCTGAATTAAATGTGAAGTTGTAGATTGGTGAATTGAGAATACTTTGATGGAGACAATAATATCAACAAAGGATATAACTATGTTTTTTTAAATAGTTGAATTTACCATTTTACCGCTTTTCCTCAGAACTGCTAATATATATATATATATATATATATATATATATAATATATATATATATATATATATATATATATATATATATATATATATATATATATATATATTTTGGATTGAACACCAAAGCCACAGGCCACCCCAGGATGATCTCAATGCATGTTTTTAGTGTTTGTAAGAATTATTTGGAAATCATGTAATCGTGAAGTGTTTTTACATGAAACAATAGCACTTTTAGTTATAACTCTCAAAAGACAATACACAAAATAAGAAAATTAAATCTAACAAACGATTGCAAACCGGTAACAAAAATAAATCATTTTATGGGCCATTCATTAACCATAATAAAAACATTAAATTTTAACATTGGTTTTTAGCTCATGATGACAAAAGGTATTTCCTAGAGGCTTTAAGAGAAGTCACCTTTGATAGTATTGTCAAAAATAAATAATCTTTAACTTTAATTTTTTTTCAAATATTTATTATTTAAAACATCTTTATAATTACTTTGAATGTAATAAACAATCTTTATACACAAATTCCAAATGGAATAAAAACAACCAAGCTTACCAGGATCAAGAATTATCAGGATTGTTTAGGAATTCTAGATAAAATATGTTATTTGAACACAAAAAGATCGATATTAAAATAGATATATGGTATGGAAAAGTCATGAGATAACAATTTTAATATTTCATTTTAACCTAACAAATGAAAATGAATTTTAACAATGTCCATGCCTTAACGTATATATATGTACCAATTTTTATATAGGCTTGGAAGTGCCCCTGTAGAGGGAGTCTCCTAAACTCAGCGCTGATGAAACAGAATAAATAATTATCTGCTACAGCCAGACTCAAACCCGGGACCTAGAGCATTGTAAGTCAATGTCTTGCCCACTAAGCTACACTACTCTCTCTTAATAAATTAATAAAACTAAAAAAAGATGGATCTCATTCTAGAAGTAGTCAACCATTTCAAAAATCAAGAAATAAACTGCTAAATATTATTTAAACATTTTTCCCATTGAATAATATTAATAAGATAATGTGTGGTTAACAATGAGATAAACCACACGTAAGGAATAATAACAGGATCCATGAGCAATTAATTTTAATAGAGTTATGTAAAAGATTCTGAACAAATAAAGATACATCTGGCATTGAACAAAAATTATGGAATCTTAAATTATTTTTATAACTTGAGAAGGAGTTAGTCAAGGGTGCGGTCAAATAAATAAAAAATTAAAATATATTAATTTTTTAATATATTAAAATAATTAATATATTTTAATTTTTTATTTATTTTACCGCACCCTCGACTAACTCCTTCTCATATTATATCAACGGTCAACCATCTCTACATCATTATTTTTATAACTATTTTATTTAATGTAAGGATAATAGAGTTATGTAAAAGGTTCTGAAAAAATAAAGATACATCTGGCATTGAACAAAATGATGGAATCTTAAATTATTTTTATAACTATTTTATTTAATGTAAGGATGAAAAAGAAAAACATAAATCATAACATTATATTTTAAAGAATCTATTGCTGATTAGTTCTATTTTGTCAATCTCATCCTCTAGAACTATTGTCCATATTTGTTTTATTTAATTTTTCATCATTTATTATAAAACGTATTAGTTTATAATAAATTAAACATTTAATTAAATTTAATTTATCGCATTGATAAGAAGTTATATTATTTTTTTTTTTTAATAATAAAATTGAAAGGACAAAAATAAGCAATTAAGTGTATAATATTTTTTTTTTTAAAAGAGGAAAATATCTGTAGTGTATAATAATTTTTTTTTTTTTTAAAAAGAGGAAAATATCTGGGAATAATTCCTGGGTATGATTTTGGAAAAACAGAAAAAGTGAGAGATTCTTGAAAAGTTTTAAAGAATTTAGAACTAAAATATAACAACTTCAATTACTTTAATTTATAGATGCATATGAGAAGGACAACTGTCATTTTTTTTTTAAGTTGAGAAAAACCCAATTTTTGTAATGTAACTTAAATTTAAACCAAATCTAAAGATTTATTTTCATGATTCAACTGGAACATTTTTAAATAAAATCATCAAAAACAGTTTGAGTTGGACCTATAAAACAAAAATGAAATTTTATTCAACTTTCTGAAAATGACAGATGCGGTCTTTGATATATTATTTGGTTAAATATAGGCATTTCAATCTATAATCTAATCATACTGAGAGTATAACTAAGTCATTTTAAAGCTGAAAAAATTAAACATATTTTGACCATTTACAACATTAAACTTTAGAGAAGTGAAATGAAAAGAAAAGTGCTTATTGCATTACATAAAACGAATAAATAAAATTATTGGAATTAACGTCAATTTTGTAAATGTCAAACTGAACATTAAAAATATATATAATCTATACAAATTAGATAGATTTTAATATTGTTCACAGACAAGCATACTAAGCAATTTGGTACAAAATTCACTTCAGTCAGGATATTCATAATAATGCCATAACTGTCTTACATCATTATAATCCAATAAATAATTTATAATTTCACATTGCACATAGCAAAAAGCCGTGTATGTAAGTATTCAAAGATCAATAAAATATTATGTAATTTTTATGTATATATATATAGAACAAAGCTAGTATGTTAAATTGTTAAGTAATGGTCCAAATGTGTATAGAAGTCTGTATAAAAAAATGTTACTTCAGTCAATCGTATTAAGAGATTAAAGTATTAAATTATAAAAAGATAATAGTACTTCAACCTTCAGTCATATTCACTTCTTTTAATATATATTAAATAATAGATGATTTTTGAGTGTAAAATATTATTTAAAAACACACGCATAACAACAAATAAATAATAGTATCTGAACCAGAAGAAAAATATAATGGAATTTTCAAATAAATTGTAATATTATCTGAACTATGAATGTTTAGTATGATATATATTACACAAACAGAATTGGTTAAAGGCTTGTTACTAGAAATTAGTCATAAAAAACAAATAAAAGACCCATAACCCATTGTGCATTACTCTTATATAATTCCTGGATCCTTGTTTTGGCAGTTAACCCAGAGTTTCACAAATAAATAACTAAACTACAAAATTAGTGTACAAAATAATCACGTACCTTCTTTGTCACAGTCAACTTTCCCCATCACTACCTGACCGGGATTTGTAAAAGCTTCAGACACTTTATCAGCAGCTTCATCAAATATTGGAGCCAACATGTTGCTAAACCGACACCAGTCAGCATAGAAGTTGATGAATACCAATTCATTTGAAGCTAAATTAACAGATGGCAACCAGTCATAAAAATGAAAAATAACTTAACTTTATATTACAGTAAAATAACAAAGCATGATTACCTAAGGTCTGATCTATAGTAGAGTGTGTCAGGGATACAGCACCACTATCTGTAGGATTGTAACAAAGGTAGGATACCTAAAACAATGTAGATATGCAATTATCCACAGTAAAAAAATATGATAACAAACAAGAAAAGTTAAGTAAAGAAAATAAACTTACGAGTAAGTGAAGAAAAAAAAATAAATGATTAGAACTAGAATAAATATTTTGATTCATTATACGACGGGAAAATTGATTAACTATGCGACCGGTAAAGGTTAGAACGGCTATCGTTTGGCAATTGACAACAGCTACCAACAAGGCAGGTAATACTCCTCAGTTTTCAAGACAACCCTGCAGTTGAAAAATTTCAAATGTGCTACTTCCATGCCCATCATCAGTATTTATTAGAAAAAAAAAATTATACTCGTTACTAGATAGAAACAAATATATTTCTGATTATGTTCGATTGACTGCTGAATATACTTTGTTAACACCTGATGATAAATAATATAAATCTATTTAAACAATAATGATCAAACATGAATTGCCAAATTAAAAAACAACACAAGAAAGGAATTATATGATTAAAAGATAAATAAGACAAATGAAATAAATCACTGGCTATCATAAAAGTCAGAAAACAAACTATTGTAGTGAATTAGCCCCCCTCCAATTTGAATTTAGAAGTAATATTTCCATGGAAAAAAAAAGTTCTACAAATATCTTAATTGTAAATTTTTGTATACATCTTTTTAAAAAAATTAAACATTAATAGTAATTAAAGCTAGAAGACAATCTTGAAATCTTGTCAGAAGCATTTAGTCGGAAATAATGTGAAATACAAATCACTAGCAGATCCAGAATTTAATTTCGATAGATTTTTTTTTTCATATACATATAACGATAATTAATTTTTTTTAAAAAGAAAGAAATTAGCTACCTATATGAAATGGTGTTTAAGTGGTTCTTGAAGTCCTATTAAATGTAGAGGTTGTTGTTAAGAGGTTGTTTTTAATATTTTTTTCTGTATATTTTACCATTTTGGGGGGCTTCAGCCCGAAACCCCCCCTCCCCCCGTAGATCCGCCTGTGATACAAATTACACTTATACCAAATAACCCCTAATTATTTCTTTTTCTCTTTTTAACGGTCTATTAACCGGCCACTTATGGCTTTTCAAAATAATCGGTTATGATTCTAATATTTGATTTTTTTTAATTAAGGAAAAAATGGAATAAGTGGTATACCAGTTTTAGTAGTTGTATTAGCCATATTGTTTGTTATTTTTATTTACATTTACCTCAATTTCAAATTAAAACTTGTTATTTTCTTCTGATGAATAGATTGATTTCAAAAATGTATATTTATTTTTAAGTGTGGATTAATGGTTGACTGTAGTGAATAATTGAAGAGAAGAATGGTTGGGGTGATCAGTAAAAAGAAAAAATTAAATAGTAAAAATAAATAAATAAGTATATTTAATTTTATTTTTGTCTGATAAAATAAATATACTGATTTATTTTTACTCTATTATTATTTTTTATTGATCACCCCAACCATTCTTCTCTTCATATATTTATTTTTACATAAAACACAATTCTTCTGATCGGAAAGGAAAACAAGAGAAACTCTCAAAACTGAATAGATTATGTGAGATGGAATGGGTGATGGAGAAGGGAAAGAAAGAGTAGGGCGGGCCTTAAGATGGCACAACTTGCAATTGCCCCCAAGCGCAGGCCGATCTTCAAGGGCGCTCGCCACTTGTTAAAATTAAAAAAATAAATAATTTTAGCCTATGAAGAAATTTAATTGAATTTGTTTTGTTTCACAGAATCTAACTGGGATTGGAGAATTTCGAGTCAAGCTTCATAGTTTGAAGCACCGTTTGTGATGAGGTAAGGCTAATGGTTAATGAAAATGCAGGAATCTACGTATTCGTTGATGTTGAGTTTTCTCAGTAAGTAAAATAGCTCACTCATTTTATTTTAGGGATGGGTCGGATTGTATGTATCAGATACTTTTATCTGATACTAAAAAAGTATCTGATACAACCAGTAGATACAACCAAAAAGTATCTGATACAAAAGTATCTGATGCTCACATGGATACAAAATGGTTGTCCAGACATGCCACATTGATATAAGAGAAATGTTTAGTTATAATTTTAGTTGTACACAATTTTTTTAGAACTATCTATTCATTTAGTTTAATTTAATTAAATATTTATTTGTAGATAAATATATTCACGCTTATTTTTTTTTTTTTATGTAATGTTAATTTCAGATATTTTTATCTGATACTGCTATCGGATATTTTTATCTGATACTAGTATCAGATACTTTTATCTGATATTTGTATCAGATATTTTTATCTGATATTTGTATCGGATATTTTTATCTGATATTTGTATCGGATATTTTTATCTGATATTTGTATCAGATATTTTTATCTGATACCTGCATCGGATACTTTTATCTGATATCTGGACTAGATACCCAGCGGTATACATACTGGCGCTTGGGCTTATTAGTTAATATATAATAGTTCTAATGACTGTATAGTTATGTCAGGTACTAAGAAAATATTTACACAATTTTTTAAACAAAATATGCTTCATATTTGACAAAAGAATGGAATATATTAAATAAAAATATAACAAATTCATGCAGAGGAAATATATTGGGCTTCATATCTCAATAATTGTATCAGATACTTTAATCCAACTGTAATTGATTATTGATCGGGTTTGATATTTTAATACCTATTTGATACCTAATAAAACATATATTAAATATGTACCTATATATATTTTATTCCTTTATTATTAAATTTGTCCCTGTAATAAATATTTTACACCATTTTTAAATATAATAGTTCTAATGACTTTATAGTTATGTCAGGTACTATGAAGATATTCACTATACGATAGCTAAGTTTAACATACTCACACACACATATATTTCTTTTATTTTCACCGATCAATCTACATCTTGGGATTTAGATTATATAGGACTTGTATAATGCTTACAATACTATTATTGTATTCTTTGAACATATTAAATTACATATGTAAGTCATTTAAAGTAAATATTTATCCACTCTTTTAATATTATTTTTTTCATTAATACAATGTTATGACAACAAAAGTAATTTGTCGTTCATTTCAAATTTCAGTTAAAATTCCATAGTTTATTGTTTTTAGTAACTATCTTGCTGTATTGGGACCTTATTGCTCATATTATGTCTTTAATATATCAGTATAGTTATGTAAATCCTTCTGTTATTACTTATTTTTAGGTTTTTTTGTGTTTTTTTTTATTGTAATATGCATTTTGGCCAGATGTTATGTTAATTTTTATGTACAATATTTTTATTCTCAAGGGACTTTGTCCCAGAATAAAGTTGATTCTTCTATTCTATTCTATTCTATTCTATATATATATTTATTTTTTCTGTTTGCATTACAGACCATTTAGATCTTTTGCCACCTTAACAAGTATGCTCAATCTCTACCTGTCTTGGGCTATTTTTATTATAGTAGGCAAAAGACCACGTCGGAGGCCAAAAAGCAAATGGATAGATAGAATCAACAAAGATACAATAGAGCTGCGTGCAGATAAATGGCAAAAAATAGCCCAAGACAGGCAGAGATTGAGCATACTTGTTAAGGTGGCAAAAGATCTACATGGTCTGTAATGAAAACAGAAAAAATAAATATATATATACAATAGAATAGAATAATCACCTTTATTCTGGGACAAAGTCTCTTGAGAATAACAATATTGTACATAAAGATTAACATAACAACTTGCCAAAATACATATTACAATAAAAAAACAAAACAAAAAAAAAAACTAAAAAATAAGTAATAACAGAAGGATTTACATAACTATACTGATATATTAAAGACATAATATGAGCAATAAGGTCCCAATACAGCAAGATAGTTACTAAAAACAATAAACTATGGAATTTTAACTGAAATTTGAAATGAACGACAAATTACTTTTGATGTCATAACATTGTATTAATGAAAAAAAAAATAATAAAAGAGTGGATTAATATTTACTTTAAATGATTTACATAAGTAATTTAATATGTTCAAAGAATACAATAATAGTATTGTAAACATTATACAAGTCCTATATAATCTAAATCCCAAGATGTAGATTGATCAGTGAAAATAAAAAATATATATGTGTGTGTGAGTATGTTAAACGTAGCTATTAAGAATTTTTTCAAAATTTTTAAGAACGTTGTATTAGGAAAAATTTTTCTCTGCATGAATTTGTTATATTTTATTTAATATATTCCATTCTTTTGTCTAATATGAATCACATTTTGTTTAAAAAACTGTGTGAATATCTTCATAGTATCTGACATAACTATAAAGTCATTAGAACTATTATATATTAACTAATAAGCCCAAGACTAGACTAGACACCAAGCGCCAGTATGCATACCGCTGGGTATCTAGTCCAGGTATCAGATAAAAATATCAGATAAAAGTATCCGATGCGGGTATCAGATAAAAATATCTGATACAAATATCAGATAAAAATATCCGATCCAAATATCAGATAAAAATATCTGATACAAATATCAGATAAAAGTATCTGATGCCAGTATCAGATAAAAATATCTGATACTAGTATCAGATACAAAGTAGTAGGAAGGTCATGACCAACTACTGACCCATTTGTATCAGATACAAAAGTATCAGATAAAAGTATCAGATACAAAAAAGTACCCGTATCAGTTGTATCTAGATACAAAAATTTTAGTATCAACCCATCCCTATTTTATTTACGGCTGAAATGTGGTGGTGGAGCCACTAGCCAACTTTAATCCAAGAGCTTGAGGAAGTAGGCGATGCTTAGAATCAAGAAGATTAAGTTCACCCAGAAGAGGAGCAGTAGAAGGATAGTACTTAATAAGAAAAAGTGGTGAATGCATATAGCAGTAGATAAAAAATAAATAAATAAAATGAGATATACTCCAAATCAACTCCAAAAATTTTTCCATCCTAAAAAAATAAATAAAAGAAAAAAAACTAAATAAAAAAAAACTCCTGTGCACTCTACCACTGTTGTCCCTTAACCTGATCTCAGATAAGTTGTCATGCTAAAGTCTATTATATGTTTGTTTGGTTAACTGGTTAGCTCTTTGGATAACACTTAAAAGGTTTCCCTAAACTGTTTACATGGTTTTGTTTGGTTTGATGTGGTTTTGAAGGAGATAACTCATTTCATTAAAAAAATATATATATATTGGTTTATTTCGGTAATATTGTGTAGGCTAAAACTTTTACCATGTCTCTTGCTGATGAATTGCTTGCTGATTTGGAGGATGACACTGATGTCCCTCTTGTTCCAATTGAAAATGCTATTGATATAGAGACCAAGGAGATAGTTCCACTGGAAGAAGGTATGTTTTACATTTTCTAAATTTATTAGTATCAATTTAAAAAAATAATAGCTATTAAATTAGTCACTAAAGTTAGATATTTTAAATAAAATTAGATAAATTTTAATGATAGAGATCTTCTCAGGCAGTTAGCACCACTATATACTTATTTCATATCTAAATTCATATACTTATTTTTCTTTCAGATTGTTAAAATTTAATGTGTTATTGTTTTAAGCATTATTATTGTATATTTTTTAGAGTTAATAACATGATACATTTGATTACAGCTAACAGCAATAACTTGTCTACTAACTGGACTTGTCACTTCTAACACAAGTTAGAGTTAAAATAAATCAAAAATCTTCACTTTTTAACAATTTTCGTTGATGACACAAAAACTGCAAAAAGAAGTATTCCTCTAAAAACAATTCTGTATTAATGTACAGGTGTTAATCCGCTTTAGTTGATGACTCATGATCTCACCATTAATGGGATCCTGCGAAAGTGTCTGAAAGTCAACGGAAGTGTCCAACTGTCTGGTAAAGCCCCGATATCATTTGAAAATGATAGCCTTTGGGGTTTGCTTATCCCTTATGGGGGGAGGGGAGTGGCCGAATGGGCTAACGCTTGTGCACTGCACCGCCGTTGCCCTGCAACCTGATACATAAGACTTTGATTAAAAAATAGTCACGAGTTTGCATCCCGGTGCCCGGAGGAGTTTTTAAATCCTCGCCCACACTCCCGGGCCCGTTAAAACCCCCGTATAGCCTTAAAGGCGAGGAAAAAAAAAAAAAAATAAAAAATGGCAATTGAAAGCACAGATGTAATCAAAGCTAATTAATGTTCCAATGTTAGCTGAAAAGCATCAGTAGGGTGTTTGCCAAAATCTTAAATCGTGGTTGAACACATATCAATCCATGACTATTCTCGGAATCCCGCCACTCATAAGAGTGGAATGACAATGAACTCTGTTATAAAAATATTCCTGCAGCACTTTAAAATATATCAAAAAGGCTGCCTTTGCTAGGAGAGAGGTTTGACGCTTCACATCTAGGTTTAGGATTATTTGGTGAACTCCAACTTGGTGGACTTCACTTTCGATGTAGTATTGTACATGTTCATTTGAGAAATAACAAAGATTAGTGACCACAGCAGGCTAATGCTGTACAAACGTCACTAAACTTTCATGGTTGGCACAATATTTCATGATTACACCATAAGTGGATTTCTAAGAATGGCTGAGTATGTCCAAAAGTAGAGGGAAGTGACCGATTCTTCTGGTAAGGCCTCGACCTCAAATGAAAAGGAGCTGTTAGTGGCTCGTTTATCCCTTTTAAACTTGCAGAACTCGAAAGCAGTGATGTGAACTAATTGAATGAATGAGAAATGCTTTATTAAATATACATAAATTATAAATTTCTAAGTACACAGAACATTTATATGGCATAATTATTCATCTGCCGGAGATGTGAACTAATTAAAACCCCGATTTTTGTGATGTTTACTATAGTTGATGCCATGATAATTGTATTTTGTTATTTAATTTCCATGATAATGATAAATACCAACAGGTGTTTTAGCTTCATTTTCTCCTAAGTTGATGATCTTAATTCCAGAGCTGAATTTGTTCTGTACCAAATCGAAGAGTCAAGTCACTGGATGAGTTTGATTTATAGCATATTTTTAAACCTAAGCGTGAAGTTGTTTTTTTTTGTGGATGTACATTTTACAGTTATAAAAAGAAAATTAAATAAGAACCTTTTATGTTATTATTTTGTAGGTTTTCAGTCACATGTCACCAATAAGATACGTTTTTACTGTATTTCTTTATTTGCCAATATTTCAGCTTCTTGAGCCATTTTCAACAATAAATATTTTTTTTTTAATTTAATCACTTTTCTTTAAAATATTTCAATTGTTAAACATTCTGTCATATATATTCTACTTAAAGAACTGTCATATATATTTTCTGCAAATTCCATTGATAAAAATAGTTATGTTGGAAACTTTAAAGTAATATTTCTGAAGTGATCTTTTTTTCATTAACTTTTAAATATGGATCACTGGCGAAATTGGGAGGAGCCCTTGATAAACCTAGGTTTGTAGTGTTACAGAAGAAGAAACTTCCTTGTTTTGTGTCTTATGACTTGTTAGCCTACATTGAGAGGACGTGATGGTTGAGCATGTTGGAGTGTAAGTCCTAGCTTGCCCTGTTGTTGGTTTGATTCCTTTCTGGTCAGTTACTATTTATTTCTCAGTGACCTTGAAAAATGAATCTTGATATTTTTAATCTAGTAAGTATTGGGTTAGCAAGTAAGTCCTTTTGATTTTTCAGGGTGAAATAAAACTCGATGTATTATAGACATGAAATTGATTTTAATCTACAATATATTGACCATTATTTAATGCCATGTTCATAGAATGTCTGGAGTTTATTGTTAAGAAACTGATCTAAGTGGTTTTTGGGATCGTCTTCCTTTTGGAATTTCTTTTCATTCATGGAGTTCTGCAGAGACCGGAATAAATGATAGCCACTTGGAGCTAGGTCTGGGTGGGGAATAGAGAGGGCTGGGCAAAAGGCCCCATCCTGGGCTCAATAATTTATTGTGAGTGACCGATGAGGTGTGGGGCCTTGCGTTGGTTTGGTGGAACACAAACACCCTTCTGATCATTCGTGTTCCCCAAATTTGATGTTACTATATCCGTCGGAAAGCTAAATTATTGCTCTTAAAAGCCGTATGAATGTTTTTTTTTTATTTGATGACTACAAAGAAATAGATAAACAAAAACTCCATATAGGTTTTTATTTTTATATCCATTTGTAGTTTGTTTACAGAGGTTCTGTTGATCTCATTTTGTGTAGTTTGTGTGTCCCTAAATTTCTTATAGATAGCTAAAGTCCTATTGAAGCTACAACATTTTTTGTGAATTTAAAAAAAAAAAATCATGTGAGAGACCCAAACATCAAGCCTGAAAACATAGCCAAGCTTGTGCAAATGGTTTTCTACGCTTGTATGCGGCACATTTAGGGCCATAGCGATCTATCGCACTGATTGGGCAGAATTTTGATCAAAAATGGCCTTAACATTGCTTGTTTCAATTTCATGTGGGCGACCAGATCATTGATGTCAAAATTTCTTGAATGAAATTTGACAAATCAATTTTGACAGGTGGGTTCGGTTAAGGTATCATTCCCATAAACACTGCAAATTTTTCTATGAGCTTCTGCAGCATGCTTACCTTTTTTTAAAATAATACAACAAAATATGCCGTTAGTGAATGATATTTTCTTCCATATTCACAGTGCAATAGCAAACATAATACCAAGCTAGTTTCAGCAAGAGTTAACAAATATAGTTGTTGACATATTACAAACAGAATAACAATCCATCTTAGGAGTTAATTCATCAGATAAGAAGTGTATCATGGTGACATAAAAATAAACAGAAAAACCTAAAAGACTTATAAGGCCAACCCAATACATGGTGATAACATCATGGTAACTGTCAGGGACTGGCAAAAAGGACCACAAGGCGCATTTGCCGGATTAGTTTCTCCCATCATTAGCATACATTAATAGAGACTAAACTGGTTGTGTTATTTGGATTTATTTTACTTCTTTTGTGCACCATTTTCTATTAAAACGTTAATTTGGTCGCATCTGCTTATTTTACTTAAAATAACTGATTATTCAAGCTCTAGAATTATATAATGTTATACAATCCATCTGTTGTTTTCAACTTAATTTCCTGAGTAAAAAAGTTTGCATTTTGTTTGTAAAGTTAAATCAATTAAATGATGATGAGAACCATGATAATACTTTCACTTACTTATATGTGAAATATATAGTAAAGGAAAGTATTTTGATTTCTAAAATTTTCAAATCTCAGTTTTCAATGGAAATACACGTTTTGAGGTCCCCAGAGTCCAAATAACCAAGTCCAGCAAATTGGTCTTTGTGTGTATGTTAACAGTTTAGCTCAAAAACAAAAAGTCATACAAAAGTGAAATTGCATATTTAAGGTTTTTATATTCCTGAAATGTTACATCAACTTTTTCGTCAAAATCGGCTTTCCGGAAGTGGGACTTTATATCATCGATTTAACACATTTTTATGATTTTCTCAAAAACTGCTCTGACGATTTTGATTAAATTCATTATATCTGTGTAAAATTAAGCAGTTTTTAATGTAATGTAGGTTTTATTCTCATTGATGTTCTATAACAGGGCTTAAATGGTTAATTTTAAATATGAGCTTTCCCTAAGTACCTTTAATTTTTTTTATTTGAAACAATTAACCAATTCACATTGATGTGTGATATAAAAAATAGTTAAATATAAAATATGAAAGAATTTGATAATTAACTAAAGGAGAAATAAAATATCATAACGGAGAATAGTTGTAATGGAGAAACCAAAGTAATACGAGTGCGCCCAAAAAATTAGAACAGCCTTCCATATGTAACATGAGCTTAGTATAATACAGACTCCGACAATATTATGTACATATACTTAAGCAGTTTTCATAAATGCCACCATTGGTATTATTTAATATTTAATTGTATAGATTATATAAATATCAAAATTTGTTTATCTATAAGGTATATAAACAGTATATATATATATATATATATATATATATATATATATATATATATATATACTGTTTATATATATATATATAATATTTATATATTCCCCGTGATCTCCTAATGTAGTCATATCATTAGAGTGCTACCATTGGGTAGTTACTCAGCAAGTGTATTCATGTCATTATATCAATTATGCCCAAATTTACTTGATGTATTTATATAATACAGTTGTAAATGTCATAAAGAAATAATAAAAAAAAATTTATATATTCACTAAAATTACTTTCACTTTCCTTTTGTCTGAAAATAATTATTTCTGCTAAGAAGAGGGTGGCAAGTGAAAGTTGTGTGATGTGTTCACTGCACCAGATTTTTTTAAGACTCAGTGATGTTTTGTAATAACAATACCAGCTTGTTTTTCATTTCCTTTGTTGCTGACAAACTCAGTTTATTCTTTATAATGCTACTGCTTGTTTATTCACATGTTGCTGAAATGTCATCTTATTTATAATTTATTCAATCACTTATCATTTTTTAGAAATAAAGGTAACCTCTTTGGACCAACTCGTGAAATTGTTTCATTCTGATAGACTGAAAAGGATTCTTGTGGAAATGGCTAAATACCAAATTGAAACATCTGGTGGGGCCCAGCGATCTATAATAGGCCCTGTTGAAGCTGATCCTGAGTATCAACTAATTGTCGAAGCCAATAACTTAGCAGCAGAAATAGATAATGAAATAGGTAAGTCTTTTAACTATACTATGTTAGTATAAATTAGTGCCAATCTCAACTTGAAGCTCAGAATCATTAAATATTTTAAAAAATGTCCTCTTTCTTATTGTCTTAGTTTGATATAATATTCAATGAATTAAAGATAAAATTCATATGAAATTATAAAAGTGAATTTGAATTGGAAAGTTGGGTTTGGTATTCATGGATAATTGGCTATTGTAGCAGAAAATGAATGAGAAACAATAGGACTAATAGAAGGATTAAAGGGAATGGCCAGTAAAGCGGGGTTAAAAATATTGTTCACTGTGACTGAAATAATTGCTAATGATTAAATGATAGGGAGAATGGTTAAAACAAAATATGGGGAAATAAAATTGATGAAACAATTTCAGTATTTAAGAAATGGGTAGAATGTGGAACATTGTTGTGATCTATCATCAGCTGCTAAAACTTGGTGAAACCATCAATACTGAACACTATCTAAAACAAATAATTGATTGAAAACAACTATTGTTTGAAAAATTACCAGTTTAACACAAAGTGATTTGGCTTCATGATAATATGCCATCATGCAGAACAAAACCAGTGAAGGAAACGATTGAGGTATTGGGAAATATTAGTGCATGCGGCTTACTCACATGGCTTGTCTCCACCCAACTAGTATTTATTTATGGTTGGAGCAAGCACTTAATTAGTCGCACTTCACTTCTCATAAAAATGGCTTGAGGACTGGTTCACCACAAAAAAGCAATAGCTTTTTTTATGTCAGAGAGATGAGGGAAAATGTGTAGCTTGATGATGTACAGTATTTCAAAAAAAAAATTTGTTAACATTTTAATGCAATAAAATTGTATTTTGTAATACATATAAAAATAATGGTTTCGTATTTACACACCTAGTAATTTAAAGATTCATAAATAATGTTAAAAAGTATTCTATACTTCTTTCTAAGACATGTTCATTTATTTTATGCGTGCTATAATCTTATTAATCTTATTTTGTTACAATAATTATTTATTTGTGGGCTGAGCATGTTGAGGTGAGAGTCCTGACACTTGGTTTTAAACATTGTGGGTTTGCTTTCCACCTGAGTCGGTTAATAATTATTTATCAGAGGTCCCTGGAATGAATCATTCTTGAATCACATTCTAACTGTGGTTAGTACATGGCAACAACCTTCAGGGATGGTAAAGAGGTCTACAAGGCCCACTTGTCGTACTACTTCCTCCACCAGTTCTAGTTCCAGTATCATCTTCTATGTTTATTATTGTCTTATAGAACCATCTGATTTACCTTAGCCTCTGTTCTTGTTTGTTAATACCCAAGTAGAATAATATTATCTCATTATGATTTATTTCTGAATCTTTTATTCAATAATCTATTGGTTTTAGTTGTTATACACAGGTTTGTTAGGGACAAATATTCAAAGCGTTTTCCGGAGTTGGAATCACTAGTTGTTGATCCACTTGAATACCTGAGAACAGTTAAAGAAGTTGGTAATGATCTTGCCCAAGCCAAAAACAATGAAGTTCTCCAACAGTTTTTAACACAGGCCACAATCATGGTTGTATCAGTTACTGCGTCTACAACCCAAGGGTAATGTATTTATTTTGTAATTAATTCTTTTTTTTTTATTGGTTATTCATTACAAATATATTGAGATTATGAAACTGGGGTCCTATGATAATTTTTTTTTACTCCTGATGTTCTGAAATATAATGAATAAAAGGAGAACAATATGTTTCCAATATAATAGCACTTCAGAGAAATTCAGGCAAATTATGAATATGTATGATCTAATAGTGTTTTTTATCTTTATGTTTATATAATAGTTTTACAATAATTTACTTGCTTTAGAAATCATTTACAGAATTTGATTAGTAAAATTTTCATATGTATCCTAATTTGTTCATTTTCATAATATATATGACAAAATTGAAGAAATCAAAAATGATTTAGATGTATGTTATAATGATTTAAAAGAACTACAAATATTTCCTCACTTTTTGTCTATGGTATTTATTTTTAGAAAATAACTTAAAAATTTTTGAATTTATATTATTTGATGGGTTATTTATATTTTGATTATTTAATTATTTAAATATAAAATTAATCTATGGAAGCAATTGAAATGGCTTATACCTGATATGTGATGTACACATGCTGTCTTGATATCAGTCCTTTTTTAACACCTTATCTGTTGAGCATGATATCTCTTGTCTTTCCTGACGATATCGGTCTCCGGTGACTAGTTATGAAGTTCCTAACAGCATCGGACGCCAAAGACATGCCACAGTTTCGAGGTATACCACTATTTTTTGGTAACAAAGGTGAACTAAATTCCATATTCAGGGTCTCTATCTGTTGATTGGGTCCTCATTAATGGCCAGCAATCGTAGGAGTGGACTCCGTCGTCCGATGCCGTTTATATGACGAGTTTTTGATTATTTCTCTTTATTTCAGTAAACAAGTGTTATTTTTAGGGATATAAATCTTAAATATTGAAAATTAAATGATAAAAAGTTTATTTATTACATATAATTATAATTTTCAAGATATAATTTATACATTATTTATATGTATGTTATTTATTATTATTTATATGACGGGTGATAAATATTCAGGACACAGTCACTATAAAGTATAATTTATTTATACATGTTAAATAAGCAAGGGAAACAGTCTAAGATGAACTCTCAAGAGCTATTGCGGGACAGAAGCCCGAAGAAGACAAGACCATGCATATGTATCAGACGCCGGGGGAGACGGAGGGGTTGATATCGTAGGGAAAGCATACCCATACCCATACCTCCAACACCGATCCCTTTAGGGCCAATCTGGCAGTATCCTTCCCATCGACTCACTCAGTTTCATAGACAGCGACAGGTTGATTTTGATCTATTGATCATAGTTGCTTAGTCAGCAGGCGCATGAGCATCTGTATTTTCTTTTCCTGAAACACACTGTCTATGGACAAAACCTACATGGGGCTGGTGACATCCTGAAAAACTTCATCATGATTCTCGATTGAAGTACGTGGGGTAGGGTCATCACTCCTACGCCTGGTCCATGTAAGTTGCCTCCAGTAGACTGACAGGGCTCACTTGCCTAGAAAGGTCTCAGGCAACGTGATTCCTCATTGAACAATATCCTGATTTGGGCGGTCACTCATTCAAATACTTTCCACACACTTACAGTGTGCACAATAGTATGATAGGAACAAGACTAATGTTAGAACAACAAATAATTCAATAGTTCAAGTAAATTAATAGTTCGGCCTAGAATGCAAATTCACAGAAATAGACCTCAAAAGAAAGGACCAAATTATGCTGAAAAATAATTACTCTTTAAGTAATTGAAGACCAGTTAAAATAATGCTGTATGCAAAAAAACAGCAACCAAAAACAAATCTATATGAATAAAAACGATTGTATGTCTGTTTGTTCTTTATGCATTACTACACCATTCCTTGGGAAACTTTGGGAAGTTGTTGCATACATTCCCGTGAAGGTTTCTGGCATAACACATCTGTCTACGATAAGTTCTAAATATGTAAAAAAAATAATAATGTAAATGTTCGTTTTGAAAACTGATAATCTCCGAAAGTTCTGTACCGATTGCTTTGAAATTTTTACTCACCATTGCAATCAAATTCAGGAGTGTTTTATGCATCGGCTTTTAATAAAATAGTTTTACCACTAAGTTTTATAATTCTCTCTATGCAGGTCAATACTATCATACTCTTTTTGTATTCATATTTATATGTTTCTCCAATATGTTCAGGAAGTTGTATAATAATAATACATCTAAAATATTTTATATGTAACTATCTTCAAATAGTGAATCCTTGAGTAATGATTGTGACGGTTATATTCTAAATTGCTTTGAGAAATCTGATTTTCGTATATTTCAGTTTATTTTATCTTTGATTAAATTATTTTCTGTAAAATTACATTGGAATAAGTAAGGGTGTGCTGTTTATCGTAGGGTTTATTTACCTACTTCCATTTTTATAATTTTACATTTATTCAAGTTGTTGTTAAGCAGAAGTGAGCAATCAAGTATCTTAGGAGGGGTATTTGAAATATTTCGGGGAAGGAGGAAGAGAGCTTTAATGCGCATGAAATGAACACTATGGTAAATGGTATAGCTCAATTTCAATGTAATGTGACCTTTAATATTAGTAAATCTGAAACAGTGAAATGATATCATAAAATATTTTAAAGAGCATGTATTGCTTTTACATCCAATAAATGGTAATGTTTTAATAAATATATGTATTAAACCATGTGCATATTTAAATGCAACATTAAGCCAAATTCCAAAGCAATTGGATTTAAGATTTTGAACAAACAAGTTGACCGTGGTTTTATACTTTATCACATAACAAAATTATAAAGTTTATGTACTCATACGATACACAATATAGCATTCTTTAATTTATTAATTAATATATATGTCGCTTTGATGCATCGTTTAGGAGTTATAGTGAAAAAACACAAAAATATCGAAGAAAAAATCTGACTTTTTTGGCTGTAAAAAGTTTTCCCTTGGTGGCCCACATCAGTATTTTGTTTTTTACATGTCTAAACCCATATATACAAATTAAAAAAATAAAACTTTTCTCACATTTTTCACAATTGATTTCTCGTTTCGATCCTCAAATTACTGGCCTCATATGCTTCAAATTAGTAGCCATTTTTGAAAGCAGCGGCTCTGGAATGGCAGACAAGATTCTTTTTACTCAGAATAATACACACTTTCATAATTTACAATCAAACCTTCATCTGCAATGAGTCAATTTTTGGGTCCTGGCTCCAGGACTATTACTAGTCATTGGGATTCGAACCCGGGACCTTAAGCTCTTGAAGTCAAGTGTTCATCCACTGAGCTACCTCGCTCCCATTTCAACTTACATGTATTTAAATTTATTTTAAATTATAATGTTTTAAAAAAAATTATTATTATAAAAACTGTAAATATACAAACACTCTTAATGAAGGAGTTTATCATGGTTAATAAATCATTCAATTATTATAAAGAAAATATTTTTGCTTTGAAGTGATTAAGATTTTTGTTATTTGTCATCATTTATTTACTTATTTTATAGGGAGTTGCTTACAGAGAAGGAGTTGGCAGAGATCTATGAAGCCTGTGATATGGGAATCAATTTGAATGGTATTAAACTGAGGATTTATGAATATGTTGAAAGCAGAATGTCTTTCATAGCACCTAATCTGTCTGCTATCATTGGTGCATCAACCGCTGCAAAAATAATGGGTACTGTAACAATTATTGTTATTAATTTATTAGCTAAATAAGTCCTCTTCTATAACATAATGAGTCAATGGAATCCTAATGTTACAATTAGTCATATTGATATTGATTGTCAACCCTCAAAAAGAAATTGTTGTGATTAATTATAACAATTCTCTATTTCTTATTGATTTTTAACCTGAGGTAATAAAATAATCTCCCAATAAAACAATTCTATTGTAAAACTATTGTGACCTAAGTTATATAGAGTACCTGCTCTCAGTGGAGAAGGGATTCAAAAACAAAAAATAATAATAATAAAGGAAATAAAAATTATTAAATATATAAACCTTATTGCTAATAATGGATGCAAAGTTGTTTTTAAGAAAAACAACAAAAATTTAAAATAAAATAAAAATAAAGAAAATACTGCAATTAATCTCTGGCAACACTCTTTACACTCAACATAAAATGATAAGGGTATTATAATATAAGGGCAGTAGGACAAAAATATAATATTCTCACCCTCTTGGTATTTTTAATATCAATAAGATATATTTTAATTTAAAAAGAAAAAATTATGATTTCAATCAAAGAAAAACAAAAGAAAATCACCAGCTGTTAGAATTACTATTAAATAAAAGAAATCTTTCCTAGACTTATTATTATTAACAAAAATATTTATGCAAAATATAAATATCTATAGAATAAAAAATAACTAATGGCATTGAAGAAAAACAAAGGAAAAAAATCTATTACAGTAACTAAAGAGTATTATATCACCTGGCCATTTTGGTGGCATACGGAGGGAGGGAGGAAGTGTTGTTTTAGAGCAGTGATCTCCAAATTACGGCCTTCAAATGTTTCTTTGATTACATGACAAAATAAAAGAAATATTTAAATTTAGTAAATCACTCAAACTCTAAATTACTACAGCATTTATTGTATGAGTAGTTTCTCTTAGAAAGTTTATTCCACGAATGAAGTATCATTTGTAGAACAAACTTTTTTTTTTGTCACAAGCCAGGACCCACGGGACTTAGTGGAGATCTCAATGTGGCTCGCAGAACTTAGTGGAGAGCTTAATGTGTCGTGGGGCACTTAATGTAGGTCTCAATATGGCCCGTGGGAGTCTCTACAATGATTACAAAAGAGTTGAAAATGTTAGAGAAAAAAGTTTTTTTTTTTAAACTTTGTTAGTTAGTCTAATCTGCACTAACATTGCAAAAAATGCTCTGAACATTAAATCAAATATTCATGCTTAATTGCATTACAATCGGTTCATAAATAAATTTATTTTTTTTATTTTAAGGCCTTTTTCACTAATGTTATTGTCCTTGACCTAAATATTCTTTAAGATTTTTTTCCAGACTTTCTTCTACCACGTCTTTCCGTCTTACCCCTGTACTTCCTTTTTTCCTTCTCCATTCTACTTCCAGCTCCATATACATCTTTGGCAATCTTTCAGGCCTCATTCTTTTGACATGTCCAAACCAGCATAACCTTTTCTTTTCAATATTTACTAAAGTGTTTTTTTCCACCTCCATCATTTCCAGAATTCTTTCTTTTTTTATCCTTTCCCTTCTGGATTTTCTTGCTGCTCTTCTCCAAAAGTCCATCTCTACTGCTAACAATCTGTTTTGATATCTTCCATTGATGACCCAAGTCATCGAGGCATATGTCATAATTGGCTCGAATATAGCCTCTTTGTACTGGGCTGTATATTCGAGCTCCAAAGAATACTGTTAGTAGTGCTTTCTAGTGTGACCTTTCTTCTTTCACCAATTCTTCTCTCAATATCATTGGTGAATGTACTTTCTCTATTAAATATTGCTCCTAGGTATTTAAATTTCTCTACAGATTTTAGGCCTCTTTCAATTGGCATGTCATCAGATGAAGTGCCAAGATGCTCTGTTTTCATGAAGTTAATAGTCAATTCCCACTTTTCATAACTCTCGATAACCTTTCTGAACATATAATTGATGTCCTCTCTATCCTGGGCTATGATTACTTGGTCATCTGCAAACATTAGGTTCATGGTGCATAAATTTTCCCCAATCCTTGTTCCGATTTTGCCACATTTTCTCTTCCACTCTCTGAGAGCAACATGAACATACATTTTAAATAGAGTAGGCAAAAGGCAGCCTCCTTACAAAAGTCCTTTTGAGGTCTGGAATTTTTCGGAGAGACTTAACCCTAGTTCAACACAGCAGGTATTATTGTGGTAAATTTCTTTTATGATGGTTATTATAGGCTCTGAGATATTTGCTTCCTAGAGAGCTTTCCGCCATAGCTCCTTGGAACTGAGTTGAAGTTCTATTACAATAAAAATGTAGAGAGATAACACTTTATCTCCTTATATTGAAGTATATTTGTGTGAAATTTCAAGCTTCAAGATCTTATATTTCTGGAGATCCAGATATCCAAAGCCTATAGATGTTACATCAACAAAATCTAGTGTCAAAAATAATCTTTTTTATTTTACAATTTTTCTTCAGGTGTAGCTGGGGGGCTGACCAACTTGTCTAAGATGCCAGCCTGTAATGTCCTTTTACTTGGCAACCAACGCAAAGTTCTTGGTGGGTTCTCTCAGGTGACAGCTCTGCCCCACACTGGCTTCATTTACAACTCTAGCCTGGTACAAGAAACACCACCGGTATGTTTGTATATTTTTGTATTGTAATTTTTACTTTTATATGTTTTAATCGAGATTCTGCATGTTACTTTTACTGTACTAATGCAAAATTTAATTCCAATTTGTGTAGTTAAGTAAGCCTTAGCTTAAAATTGCTATACTTGTTATGATTCTTGACCATTTTAGTATTTTTTTTTTTTGGATAAAAAGACAGGTTAGATGCTCAAATAAAGTATTAGTCTGGTCAAAAAATCTATAAATTTATAAAATTTATAAATGACGGTCCCCTAACGATAGATATTAGAGAAGTTGGTTGGGGATGCAGTCAAAGATGAGAATACACAAAAAAAACTTAATTTTCTTTTGTGCTGACCTTTTGACCTAACTTTTAGAGTTTTATCAGGGCTAAGTAAAGATGGTAGTGGAGTGGGCTCAGGCGTTTCCAAAACACATTCCAGTTCCAGTGCTGGGGGCATTTATCCATGCCATTAATCCCCTGGTAGGTAGCGGGGTTGCTCAGTGGTAGGGTACTAAGCTTCCAATGCTCAAAGTCCCAGGTTCAAATCCTAGCTGATGGCAGAAAAATTATTTATTCTGTTTCATTGGTCGTGGGGCGACCCTGGGGTAGGCAGACCTTCCTGGGGCACACCCAACAGCCTTTACAAAGTGGATAACCTTAATTAAATAATTGATTAAGGGGGAAAACCTGGCGGTTGAGCGTGATCCTGGTCTGATCTCCCCCCTGCGCAACCATTGGCCTTGTATCAGTACTTTCCCTAAATAGTTCTGAACCCACGATCCTTCATGGATTGTAGTGGTACAGAATTTTATTTTTTTATTAATCCTCTGGGATGGGGAAAACACTGTATAGCTGAAAAGGTGAGCTAGGTGAAAAAAGATAAAAAAAATGAAAGGGCTAAGTAAAGAAAACATAATAACCGATAAGAAAGAGAAATAAAACATACAAAATGGAATGAAAATGGCAATGTTTAAACAAATATCAATTTGTAAATAATGGAAATTATATAGAAATACTGAGACATAAATGAAAATCATGTCATCTGAGATAAAGTAACATGAATGAAAAAACAGAAAATTAATTAAATAATAAAGTAATATGAATTAAAAAACAGAAATTTAATTAAATGATTGCAAGTTATTTAAATCAAAAGTTTAAGAAGTTTTTATATCAATATAAGTTAATGTATTGATTCATAAGTTTTATCTTGTGGTTTATATAACTTAATATTTCATTTCATATATACTGAATATAGTAATATTTCATATTATGATTTTAAGTTATAATTATTACCACATCTTATTTATTTTATTTTACTACTTATTCTTCTGACTTATATTGCTTAATACTTAATACTTGTTGGCCCATATGAATCATTCGCATAGTATATTGGTGAATAAATGACAAAATAATGAGAAAATGGGTTAATACAATGATAGCATAAGATGGAGAAATCTTATTCTCTTTTGCTTAGTGATTGTAATTGACTAGGAAAAGAAAATTAATTTAAACCATTCATGTTTTAAACCAACATTACGATTTGCACTATTTAGCATTCATGTTTACAAATTACAATAAGCTGTATCTTTTAAAATAATGTTCCTATTTTGATGATTTTTTTTGTTTTATAATTTAATAATCTTTTAAATAATTATTGTATTAACTATTTTTTAATAAACATTTTTTAATTATTCGCATATAAAGTTTCTTTTTCATTTTGTTTGATACCTCATTCATTAAAATCCATCGTTTTTACTCTTGAGAGCAAGAAAAGAGATCTACACTTGCTTATTATATATAAAAATTGGTAATAGTGCTGTGTTCAGCTGGTTACCATTTCACTTTTCTTTATAATTTTTTTCCCTGACATTCACCAAAACATCTTTAACTCCTCAGGATTTTTCCTAACTAATGTTATTATAACCGTTGGAAAGCTCAATTATTTCAGTTATCCTGTATACTATATTATTTCAGACTTTTAGATTTAATGCCTCCAAAAGGAATAAATATGTTTGTAATAACAATGATTCTCATTGTCTTAATAGACTTAACAATTGTCAATTGTATTGGTTGACTTAAAGAGTTCTTTATCAAAAATTTGGTCACAATGACTTAGGTTTTTTTTAACTGATTGACTCAAATCTAAATTGTGAATATGCTAATTTGAAAATTGATAGATTTCACAATTAGTCCCTAATTTAATCTAAAGTCTATATTAATTCTATCCTATCTACGTTTGAATTTATGTAGATAAATAAGGAATTTATAGTTAATTATTACTATAGATCGGATCTTCGAGCAATAAAAACTCAAAATATGTAAAATTGTCTAATTTCACACCTGCAAACAGGTCTCGTAATTATTACTATTGTTAATTTTTATCTATTTATGTATTTATAATATTATTATTTCTTGTTTTCATGGAAGGACCTGAGAAGGAAAGCTGCAAGGCTGGTTGCTACCAAGTGTACATTGGCAGCAAGAGTTGATGCTTGCCATGAGTCAAAGAATGGTGCTGTTGGGCTTTCCCTTTTCCAGGAAATAGAGAAGAAATTAGATAAATTACAGGTAATTTAGTCGTGGCCTTTCTCAAAATTAATTTTCTCTTATTTTATCCTTCTTAAATATCTTAAAATAATCTTAGCTATTATTCTTAGGCAATAAGTATAATTTTCTTTGAATCTATAATTTACCTGTTTAAAAGTTCTTCATTTATCAATAAGTACTTTTTAGATCTTTATTTGCTGCTATTATTAATATAACTATAAGTTTTAGTAATTTAATTTAAATATTGGACTTATTTAGGAACCACCACCTGTGAAGTTTGTTAAGCCTCTGCCTAAGCCTATTGATCCTCCTAGAAAGAAGCGGGGTGGTAAAAGAGTGAGGAAGATGAAAGAACGCTACGCTATGACAGAACTTCGTAAACAAGCTAATAGACTTAATTTTGCCGAGGTAACAAATTGACTAGTTATAATTATTATGACTGTAAAAAATAATACACTGATTTATTTTAAATGAATAATGTTGTCTACTATAATTAATATATAATCTAAAAATCTCAGATGCACAAATTAATGTTGAGATGAGCTGTTCAATTACTTGTTTTTAAAAGAAATAGCCTTCTTGTTCTTAATGTTGGTTGTTTTTCTTTTTATGACTTATGCTCAATCCATCTGTTACAAATATTCTCTGTTCTCTTTCCTAAATGAAGGACTTATCTTGTTTGTTTTTTCCATATTCAGTACTTGTTATACTTCAACCTCAATTAATATTTCTGGTAAAGTTAAACTATCTATAGCTCAATCCTCTTTGCAAGAATAAAAAAGCCCAGAACCTACAATATAGGGGAAGCTCTGTTGCTGCTCTATGCTTTTCTCTTATATCTTCGTGACTTCTTAAATTCGATAATGGGAATAATTTAGCAAATTACTGATCAAATATTGTTTAATATCGCATTGTTCAGCGATAACCCTCATTTGGCTATAAGTGGTCCATAGTCAGGACTTTGTTATAGAAATTAGAAAAAAATAAAGTAATCAAAAGAAGAAATGTGGACATGAGCCATTGCAAGTGTAGTACAAACAAAAGTTAAATTACTTTCTTTAATAGGGCATTTTATGTCTTAAAAAATTATATCCTTAGATGACAGGATAAATATAATTTTCAAATAAAAATATATTCTATTTTATGCTAGATTTATAATTATCTCATCTTACCAATGAATCATTAGAAATTATTGCAAAATAATAATCAAGCATTTTCTTAGTCTTTTGTCATGTTCCCATTCTTGGTCACTCAACTTTACTGTTTTAGTGAACTTTACGTTTGGTCTTATAAGACTGGTTGCTTCATAATTTATCTTCCAGTTCATTGAGGAGGAGTACTGAATCTAATTCCATGATATTGTGACATAAATAGTGTGCATTTTGTCTTCATATCTTCAAGTGTGTGCATCAGTCTTTTGTCAACACTAACAGTTGTGTGGCAAGAAGATACTAACATCATTTGTTTTTGTCGTTTAAGCGCTTTTGTCACTGTTATTTTCTGTATAAAGGAACGTTCCATTCAAATTTTCCTGGAAAGCTTCCTAGTCTTGTAAAAGAAAGCACATGTTTGTGTTTATGTGAATAAATTACTTTATTTTCTTGCTCCTGCTGCAATAAAATGGAAGTTATGTTTGTAAACAGAAAATGTTTAATGTTAATCATTTCTAAATGATTAATTGTATGTTATTACGTTTAAAAATTGTTCTGTTTACATTGAATATGATAAACTGTTTTATAATGATACGCTGCGTTCTCACTTCTTAGCTTCATTAACCATCCAAAGACAAAAAAATTAGCAGTAAAATTGAATCCTATTCAAGCCTTATTTTATTGTATTTTTTATGAGGAGATTTGAAACTAGTTTTCACCTATTATTTAATTCTGTGAATTGATCTGTCATTAACAATATGTGTATTGTTTGAAAGATCCTGTTAATCAAACTGTACATCTGATAAGTTACTGTACTTAAAGAGGGTGTATTTGGATATCTCAGGGTTATTTACTGTGTCTGGTTGATACTTCTTTTTTGAAATATTGATATGAGCTGTGATGTGCTTAGAATCTCTTAAGTATATCCAACATTAAATATATTAGTTATAAAGAATAATTTTTAAGTACTTAAAAATAAGAAATTCTAATATAGAGTAGTGTAAATGTTATGAGCAACTCAGAAAAAGTGACAATGGAGAAAGAATTGGTTATTATAGTAAATTTTCCAACTTCTCCAATGACCCAATACACTTTAACGCTTTAAGCTCTTCTGTTCCCAATTTTAATTCTTCATATATTGATAAAACCGTTCATTATTTCAAAAGTTGTGTGTTCTATCATAAATATATTTATCTCTTTCTATAACACATCAGCCTCCAAATAAATGGAATATAGCATGTTCTTCAACCAATCTTTTGCTTCTAATACCCAACCCTCTCATCTTAAGGGACAGTACAAAACTATTAAAAAAGATTTCTTTCCAAATCCATTTATTTCATCAACATATGATTACATTTTCCGTCTCAAGTAGTTACTTTGACCTTTTCCTTATTATTTTGAATAATAATTTATTCTTAAAAAATATTTTATCGGGTTCTTTCAGATAGAAGATGACGCCTACCAGGAGGATTTAGGATATTCAAGAGGCACAATTGGAAAGACTGGAACTGGGCGAATACGTATGGCTCAAGTTGATGAAAAGACAAAAGTTCGTATCTCAAAGACTTTGCAGCGTAATCTGCAGAAACAGCAGGGTTGGGGTGGTAGTTCCACAGTGAGAAAGCAAGTTTCTGGAACCGCCTCAAGTGTAGCTTTTACACCTCTTCAGGTAATATTAATTATATAGTTTATTTTACCAATTCTTAATGAGGAGTGGGTCAGATTGAAATGACTAAAAGGAAGAAGAAAAATTATGCATAATGTGCTGGAATTCTTTGTGTATAGTTTGGAAAAATCTGTTATTTATCCCAACTGAAAGTATTTGTGTTTAAAATTCCTTACATCTCATTTTAAGTACCAATTTGACCATTAATATTTTTTCCTCGGGTACTTCCCAGCTTCCTTCCAATAGGTTTTGGGGTGTTGATTATCAATCACTGATTGCAGCAAGACTGATAGCTCCAGGAGTTCTACTTCTGTTTCCTGATGGCCTACTACCTTATAACTCTCAGTGCAGATTTTCACTTCTGCAAACATACATGTTGACAGAGAATTTATAAGTTTTTAAATTACTAGGGAGGTACCCCCTGTCCGCCTAAATGCAAACCAACTCCTATTTTACAAATTATATTACTGTTAATTTAACTGCGCTGCTTGTTGTTCAAATTGTTTAACTGTAATTTACATGTATTCTGTGGTTCAGATTGTATTATTTTTTATCAACATAAAGTAAACGAATCAAAACCACAGTTCCCACAAATTTTTAATTCCTTATATGGGATAATGCTTGGCCGTACATCGAAAATTTTGTACGGGACTACCTAAGCGAGGTTAGGTTCCATACCTTGGAGCCGCCAGCTCGTAGCCCAAGCTACAAACCTATGAAGCGTGTACCAGGTTAGGACGTCTCTCTGTTGACAATAGAACCCTCCATGTGACCTCCAAGTACGTGAAATGGATCAGATTCAAAATTGTGTAACCTCCTTATTCATAGTATGCCTATGAGAGTAAAGAAATATTCAAGAAAAGGTAGGAAACACTAGGTACTAGATACTCGGATTTTATAATTAAAAAAGAATTAGATACGTTTTATTCTTGTTTGAAAGAGTGTTCATTTACTTTATTTTACTTTACCATTTTTTAAAATAAATTTTCATTGTTTTTTTTTTCCTTTATCTGTGGTCTTCTACAAGCAGAATATAAATTTTATTTTTTCATTTTTAAGTACTTAAAGGAATTGGTCTACTTTTCAGGAGACCAAACAAAGATGTTTTAAGATGTTTTATTTTTAACCTCTGCATTGCAAAGAATTGTTTCATCTCTGGACCTTTTAGTTTGTCCGATTCCTAGATTTGTGTCCATAAGATTTTATAGTGCATTTATAAAAGTAATTATTTAGATTTTTGTTAAAAGGGTGGTGACTATTAGGATTGAACCATTTACTTACATTAAATTATTTATTACATTTTATTCAGAGATATAAGCTTTCAAATCTCATATCAATGGCTTTGACTAGAAAACTTCTTACTTTCAAATTTATCTTAATAGAGTTTTTGGTTTTATACCTTTAAACTGAAATTTCAACAGATTAGATGAATAGAGAAATGTTTTATATAAATGAAAACTGTTTTCATATAACTATCTTTCTGTAGCCAGCTGTTAAAGCTGTCAATATATTAACATAGGAAAAATATATAAATAAAATAATCTAATGTTTAATAAAGCTCAATAAAGCTTCACGCTGCTTGGGCAAATTTATCAACATAGCCTAAATTATTTAACTCCTACTCTATTGAAAAAAGTTTCAATTCTCACTTACAAAAATCAAAGCAGCATCTATTTCTGGCTCAAACACGCTTGATTGCCAGTGCAGTCTCATTTTTACTTTAGGCTTACCAATTGTTATTTTAGTTTCCACCCTTCTCTGCCTTATGGGCAATACAGGTGTTTGCTTGAATGAGATATATATAACTGCACAAACAAAAACATTCTTTTAATGAAATGAAATGAAAATATATTTTATTATTCTGGGACTGTTGTCCCTTTAGAACAAATTTTAAGTTCAGAATGCATGTCTGTGTGGTCATGAATACATTTTAAAGAAGAGAGGTTTGAAAGAGAATGCTGATTGTGCGTGTTGAATATCAGCAGGAATGGAATTCCAGTGTACACGAATTGCACTTTTTTTTCTAAAGTACGATGGCTTACATTGAACAATGATTCCTGAAATCCAAGTTTTCCTGGTGTTGCTCCTCTTTTTCCCTTGGACTCCATTGTTGTAGTGGGCTGGATCCATTGCCATCTTTCTAACTATAAATGAATTTCTTGAACCATGGGAAGTTCTCACTCACCAACCAATGAAACTCATATTTATGAAATATATAGTAAGGGGGGAAAGCATTGCGGTCGTGAAAATATCATCATTTGTGTCTGTGTGTTTTATATTAAGGACAGTAAAAGAGATTGAATACTAGACAGGCTGAGTGAGGCCAATTGCCCTCCTGCTTTTCTTATAATTGTCATTTTATTTATGCAATTTAAGATACCTACAGTTTTATAATTATTGCTATTTGAGAGACCTAAGGCTTTGTAAGGCTGAATTTACCGGATCATTATATTATCATGGTTTTATCCGTTATTTTGTTTTATAAAACAATTCGACAGTGGGGCCCAATCAGCCTAAAAAGTCTTTCAAACGAAAAGCGTTAAGCTCCTCATTTGAAAGAAAAGAAAAGAAACAATGTAGTAAGAGAAAATTAACTTACTATCAGACACACACAGCCTCTTCAAAACTTCAAGTTCTTAAACAATGTCTCAAAAAAGCAATATGACTGTGAAAGGAAAATCAATTCATTGGTTGGGCACACTTTCCTCTACAAAGCCTCAAGTCTCTCAAACAGCATCAAATGTGTTTTTAATGACAAGAAATGAACACAAGAAGCAGAAACAAAATGGCGCACTCAGCCTTTTCAAATCTTAAGTCAAGACTTATAAGACTTCAAGTCTGTCAAGACAGTTGTTAGCATAAAACCTAAAGTCCCTTAGGTCACAGAAAAGCAATATGATGGTGAAAGCAAAATTACACTCACCTTTTACAATTGTCCATAGACCCTCAGAATGCAGAAAAACTTATGAGAGTAAAATTTAAAACAAAATGATGGACAGACACATTCAGCCTTTCCAAATCTCAATTGTCTTTAACAGCCATAAATATAAAGACAAAGCTTTGGATTGCAAAAATAAAATAATATTGTAAGAACAAGAAAATGGTGGTTGTCTAGTTCAATAATCTCTTGAGAGTAAAATAGGAGTTAATTTCAACCTCTATTTGATCTGTCAAAATGTATTTTTAGATCAAATGAATTAGCTGAGGAAATAATAAATTTGAAAATAATATCCAAGTTATTAAATAAATTATTTCTGAAATAATTTGTTGAGTTTATTTAATTATTTATTCCTGAATTATTATTTCTAACAAAATCTGCCCAGGCCTATGTAATGTATGAGTTTTAACTCTTTTGGTGTGATAGTTAAGATTGTGAAATTTGAATTCAAGTATTTTTTTAATTTAAGATTTTTAGAATTTCTAGTATTAATAATTTTTATGTATTGATTTAACTAAGATATAAGTTTTATTTGACTTGCATGATTACAGGGTCTGGAAATAGTTAATCCCCAAGCAGCTGAGAAAAGTGGTATAGAATCAAACAAATATTTCTCCAATACTGCTGGTTTTGTTAAGATACAGAAACCATAACAATTCATTTAAATGTATAAAGTTGTGCTTAGCTAGATAATAGTTTGTATTATTATATTGAAAATAGGTCAATAATGTTAATTTATTAATTGTTTAAGAATACATTTTTTATATAATCTCCTGAACTATTATTTTCCCTTGTATAACTTATCTAAAATATTAATATACAATATGATTTATGTACTTAATTTCAAGGATTTAACTGATTTATAAAAAAATAAATATTTACTTTTATCTGATATATCTAAGAAATGGATTGCTATATTTCTCATTGGATGGAACTACAAACTTACAATTTTATAAGAGAGACAAAATAATTAGAATTATTGTAATACAATAGGCCCTTTCCATAATTGTAATTCAAAGAATTATTACAAACATTCTATCAATTGATAGATAGTAAAAACATGCCCGGTCCCTCAGCTGAGACTGCACAGAACCAAGGGAAAGCGTACGTCCAATTAGAATTAAGAACGACTCAGTGAGGAAGTGCCAACAGCTAGAGGGTAACTGGCCAACTAGTCACATCATTTAATTTAATGATTTATTATAATATATTTCTTTATGAATAATAATAGATTAATTATAATTATTAATGTAAATTTTATTTTGTATGTAAAAATTGATGTATTATAATATCATGTGAATAAATATTTAGACTTAAAGATGTCAAGATCCAAGTAACAAATTTTCATTACTAGCTCTTATTGACATTTTAACACCTCAGTTGTAAGTTACAGACCCTGTCCATCTTCAGCGATTCCTTAGACACTGTATCATTTATTTATTATTGTAACTTCTTGCCTTCTCTCCTCTGGTTGATCCCTAGATCAAGAGAGAAAATCCTTACCTAGTACTTCACTAAACTATCGGCCTGCTTCTCATTATTTGTTTTTTTTTTAACCTATTACACTCTCATCTCCTCTCAAAACGCCTTCACATTCCAGGCTGTTGATCCTTTCAATGTGGAGTTTCCTACTACCTACCATAGTCTTAGAGCTGATCCTCATTTGAATTGCAAAGGATCCTCCCAAAATCAAGATAACTCGAAACGAATAGTGCATATAGTTTATTATTATTATTATTATATCATGCCACCCACATTAGACAAGGGGATGGGAATGACCCGTGTAATGTTAAATGACTTGAATTAAAAAGTTATTTTATAATTTTTAAACTTTATTTATTCATAATATTATTTAAATCACCAAATTATTATAAAAATTTAAACTAGTTCTGATGAAAATAAATTGAATAATTTTATTGAACTAATGATCAAGTCGAATCAATGTTCAAATTAAATTTTAATGTTCGTAGGATACACTAAAAAAGTTAAGAGTATTTTATTCTGTGGATTTTACTTCATAATACTAATACTTTCTTGATATTTTCGTCGCCAGGTCTTCGATGAAATTTTAGTCGATTTATTTTTTTCTTGCTGCTTGTACTCTTTGTCCCAAAAAGCTTGTGGGTCTTCACGCTCAAACCATTCTCTGGCAATCTTCCACCTCATTTCCGGGCTTAATGTTTGTGTTAATGGCCCAACAGACCTTAAATATTTGTCATAAGCATGCCACGCCGGTGTTGTTTCTAGTTTTTTAATGTAAGGTTCCAGCTTATCCCTGCAAATGTATTGTAAACAGAGATTATAATTATTTTATTATTATACTACAGGAGTTAAGTTAAGAGAACAAAAACTTCTTTACTCATCTAATATGTAAGATCGTCGATTTTGGTTTTTAATAAAGTTCAATTAAATTAACTATAAGTTTGGGCATACTGAATATATGAAAAACAAGGTAACATGAAAATAAAACATCTGTCTTGTCTTGTTCATAATAAATGTGCTCAAAATGCACTTAAAGATGGTTTAAATTCTGTAATGGTTTAATTTTTATTCTGGAAAACAAATGTACCAAAAAGAAAAGAAGAAAGATCACCTTGTAAAAATAAAAAGATGAATACTAATTGATTAGAATAATGAATGAATTAAAATCAAATTGACATGGCCTCTACAGGAATTCTAACTAGCAGGCTCTGATTTTCATAGGGATAAATTTTTAATTGGCCTATTGGCAAATCTTGTGAGAATGGTAATGTAATTATCAAGGGCTATCATATTTCCTTTTCATTCTTTTTTTAACCTAATGAAAAAATACTAAAAATGTCGCTATATCCAAGCTCAACAGTACTTTATTTAGTATATTTGCAAATGTGATCATAATTAAAATAGAAAGGCATCTAACCATTATTTGCTCAGGAAGTCCAGTTACCAGAAATCAAGGCCGATCTAATCGAAATCCCTTCTTGCACTGAGACCCCTGATATTTGCCAGCCACTAAGGGATCCAGAATTTAATTTTGGGGGGCTTTAGCCTGAAAGTGTTTTTTCATATATATATATATAAGATAAAGACCGGAGACTGGCGATATCAGCCTTAATACCATCTTGTAATGTAAATAAACATAACAATTGTATATAAGGCAGATTACTGAACGAATAAAGCAGTGTTTTATCAGAAGCCGTGAGTATTGTTTCTCGATCCTTTTCCTTCTTTTTTTTTGTTTTCAAAGCCCGGCGACGCTTAACTGGTGCCGAAACCCGGGAGAACGTCAGGAGAACACGGAAGTAAAATTTTTTTTTCTTTCTTTCTTTTCATTTTTTTTTCTCTTCTCCTAGTCATAAGGAAAAGACGAGATGCCGACAGAGGGCTTGATTCGACCAGGAGTGTTGAACGCACCTGAAATGCCGCAACCTCAGGAAATGCCGATAGCGCAGATTCCTCAGATCGCCCCTCAGGTTCCGCAGATACCTCAAGTACCGCAGATACCTCAGATACAGGAGATCCCTCCCTTACCTAGGGACACATTGGCCGAGGCGCACGCCAATGCATTGGAGTGGATGAAGATAAGGGCAGCGACCACGCAGGATCTACGGAGAGCAATCGCAGACCTGGAGCGATTCGGGGGCGAGATAGGTGAACTTAATCACTTCTTGAAAGGTGGAGACCGCCTCATATCAAGAATCGAAGCAAAGGTGGCGGAGGACCTCGTGAACCTGGGAGACGCGGAAGCACTGAAGGCAGCTCTCGTGTGCCGAGTGAGGAGGAACATCCTCAACCAAATCCAAGCGGACGAGGAGACACCATGGCCAGTGATTAAGGAGCGTTTGAAGAAGGCTTTCGGAGGGGGCCGATGGACGCCGGAAGAAGATATCTTCCAAATGTTTAGGGAGCGTCGGTCCCAACGCCAGACAAGAGGACAGTATGCGGGGGTACTAGTGGCGAAGTACAACCGCATAACTGAGAAAATGCGTGAAACCATGAGTGTGGGAGAGGTCGAAGCTAGGATGGAATTCCTTTCGACAATACTCAAGGTTCAGTTGGCTAAGGAGACTGGGAGAAGGGACGGACTGCCTAGAGAGCGATCGTTCCTCGAGTGTGCCCAAGAAATGATAGATCTGAGTGCAAGAGAGGAAGAGACGCGGATGGAAGTAGAAGAACCAGGGTGGACCCGAGTGAGTGACAGACGACCCCGGACAGCCCAGATAGGGTGGAGGAAGAGGGAAATGAAACACCCGAACGGAGAAAAAGCCACGACGGGCGAGAGAAGATCCGGACAGTCCAGGCCTAGGAATGGACCCCGGAGGGAAGACAGAAAATGTCACGGGTGCGGGAAACCGGGACATTTGGTAGCACAATGTCCGCGCACTAGATGTTTCGAGTGCGGGACGAAGGGCATATTGCCAGACAGTGCCCGTACATGTTTCGCAGGAGAGAGAGACCTCTAGACGAGCCAATGGAGGTGAACGCTCAAAAGTTGAAAAGACGAGCTAGGATGCAGCAGAGAGACGGATCTTCGGAAGAGGCAACCGAGGAGTCGGGGACGTCGGGAACGGAGACTGACGAGCCAGCCAGCAGTGGAGGCGAAGGAGGCAGGAGCAGCCAACGGAGCGAGCAACGACGAGCGACGGCGGTAAGGAGGAAGCGAGGCGGCATCTGAGAAGGGTGTCAGCAGAGAGGCGACCGCACAGCAACCTGCAACAATATTAGAGGTAAGCCATGCTGGTTGCCGATTATTGAAGTAGACGGGGGAGTGAAGTGTCTCGTGGACACAGGGAGCTCGAGTACTATCTTGACTCGGGGGGCGTTGGGGAGAGTGTGCGGGAGCGAGAGGGTACTCCGGATACAAAACTGTGGCTGCCAGCTAATCACTCTGGGTGGTCCCTGTAAAGTAGAAGGGGAAGCGTCAATTACGCTTGATCGGTGGGCAGGGAAAAAGGGGGAGCTAAAGGTGCATGTGGTAGAGAGCATGACGCGGGAGTACCAAGTCATAATAGGGTGTGATCTGTTAGGACAGGTAGGGGTAAGCATTAGAAACCGTAGAGGAGCTTGGAGTATCAGGCTGGGAAAGAGGAAATTTGGATGTATAGGGGTCGCGAGAGAAAGAAGGGTGCGGATAGGAGCGGTGAACAGGGTGGAGGACTGGAGAAAGGCGTTACAAGCGGAGTTCGTAGATATTTTCTTCAGGGAGGGCGAGGTATTGGGGGTAACAGGGAAGACGGTACACGAAGTTCCACTGAAGCAAGATAGGGTGACCTACGTAAAGGAAAGGAGATACCCGCAGGCGCTGAGGCAGCATATTCGGGAGGAATTGGAAAGCCTAAAGGAGCAAGGGATCATAGTCGATAGCACCTCGCCATTTAATAGTCCCCTGTGGGCAGTGAAAAAGAAGGCAGCGCCGGGGGATAATAAGGAAAAATACAGAGTGGTAGTGGACTATCGTAGGTTGAACGACAACACGGTAGACGAAAAGTACCCGATCCCTAGATTCGAGGATATACTTGATAGGTTGAGTGGGGCCGTGGTGTTTAGCACGTTGGACCTCAAGGCGGGATACCACCAAATACGGATGCACCCGAAGGACCAACATAAGACGGCGTTTACATTCGAAAGGGGGCATTACGAATTCACCAGAATGCCGTTTGGTCTGAAGAATGCGCCCATAACGTTTCAACGCCTGATGGACGAATTTCTGAGGGGGATCGACGACTCCGTATGTCAAGTATACATGGACGACCTGCTGATTTTTAGCAGAACGGAAGCCGAACACGTGGGGCATTTGAGGTCGGTATTCGAAAG